AATTTATGTTTGTTGAGTAAGTAAATAACTGAGTAAATGAAGATGTAGTTGATACTCTGCATCAGCAGTCTAGTGGCACTGAGTAACCCAGGACAGATGGGTTCACTCGAGGTTGTTTTTGAAAGATTAAAACAAAAACAAAAACAAAAACAAAAAACCAATCACTCCATGTATCTTAGTAGGATGTCTTACAGGATTTCTTTAAAGTTCCTGGGGCTCTAACCAATACCTGCATTAGTGCCTCTGAAAGAAGTCACTATTCTTATTTTAGCACAGACATTATCATTTTCTCTCCCACTTACCCAGGTAGGACCTTTCAACCTCATATCCTCCCTCTCCATGGCACTGTTTTTTAATCAGTTACCATCCTCTTGGTTTGTCCTTCAGAAGACTTCTTACTTCCCTTTCTCTGCCTCATGCTGGATACCCAGCCTTCATCACTTCGCTCTTCTCTAAACTGCCCTCATTCCAGGGCATTCCTCTACTTGTGCTATGAGGAGCCTTTCTCCAATCCTGCTTTCAGAGTGATGCTCCACAGCTGATGGACATCAGTGACTTCACTGCTAGGAGGCTGAAATCTGAAATCTTAAGCATTGGTATTCAAGAGCTTCCATCAGGGGTTTGTCTCTTCCCAACAATCATGTTTCCTACTCATCTCTAACTCCATATGCATCTCCACTTTTTTTTGTAATCCTGTAGAATTTACTAACTTTTGGATTTTGTTATTGCATCATGTGTGCTTATTAGCTTGTTCTTCTCTTCCCCTTGTTGCCTATAAACTGGTAATTAGTTCTAAGTTTGCTTAGCCTTTTTCCCCCCCAAGGATACTTCATAGGTGGAGTTGTGTACCACCTATAAATCAGCATTTTGCAAACCTTAATGAAGTGATAGATGTAGGCAGGAAACATCAGTGGTTGGTAAAACCATGACACTGGTTATACCTAACCTAATATTTGATTGTAACATCACTAAGAGAGAGGCAGCCAGATGTAATGTGCCTGGTAGGTGAAACATGCTTTTTTTTGCCTTAAGAATAGATTGCAGAGCTTTTGCTTTTGAGGAGATAGGTACAATTCATGTATCTGGGGGTGACGATGTGTACCCTTGGGTTTGCCACTGTTGGTTTATAACCTGGTAGGAACTTTTTCATAGGAAGGGTCAAAAATTCAATCTGCCCATTTTCCAAATTGCCTTCTAAGGTGCTGCCTGAACTTTAGACTCAGAGGTGGGGCAGGGGCACAGAGAGAGGTTAACCCTGAGGTTCATCTCAGATCCTGGACAATGCAGAGCAACATCCTTTGGGAAAATAGCCGTTCTCAGTGAATATGTTCTGGCCGTTTTTATTTCTGATGCGGTTCCTGTGGCTAACTGAGATCAGATGCCTAATTAGTTCTCAGGAAAGCAGTGGAGGATGGCGGGCTGGTGGCAGATAGCAGCTGTCAGAGTTGAACAGTGACTTGTTTCTTGGCCCCTTGGCCTTCTCTGAAAAAGTCAGTGGGGTAAGGTTTCCCTTTCTGTTCTTCTGGGTGTGAATAGCCTGAAGCAGAAAGCTGCCCCATCTCTTCAGTATCTGTGAGGCTTGAATAGTACAGTTTAGTGGAGGTATGTGCCAGAAGCCTAAAGCGCTGGCATTTGTCCTACTGACATTGACCTCTGCTCTTCCTGGTAAGCATCATCTCTCATCTGGCAGTTGGCCCATACTGACTGATGTATGCCATAGCACTCGCTTTCAGCTCGCACAGTTGGAGTGGTCAGTTGTAAAGGATTGTATCCGTGAGTGAAGGAATTCCTGAGAAGGAAGGGGTTGTGACTAGCAGAGGTTCTGAATGGCTTCCTGCCAGAGATAAGACTTGAATGCAGTCTTAGAAGATGGGCTGGACTGCTTCAGGACCAGCATTTTCCAAAGCGTGTTCCATGCAGCTTTATTTATGCTAGGGGCTTAGTGGGAAAAAACAGGTTTTGTGGTTTAGGAAGTAATAATGCATATTATAGCCTTCTCTTCATAAAACGTTCAGTTTGGTTTAACCAGCATTTAACCCAAGAACCCTCTTTATATTTATCTAATGGGATATACTTAGGTGAATTACTGCTCTGTGCTGAGGTAAGGAGTCACAAAGTTTCCAGATTGGGGGTAGGTAGGGAAGATGGCTCTTTTGGGAGTCCGTGGGATTAGCATCTCCTGAAGACTCTTTAGGAGTCCCTAAGCACAGATCAACTGCCCAGAATGGTGCACGTGGCAGGGTTCACGTGGGAGAAGCCTTTGTAGCCACATGGGAGATGGAAGGGGCACACTTGTGCCCTTGGCTTGGATGCTGCTGTACGTTGCAAGAGGATGTCTGGCACTGCAAGGTTCTCTGGCTCTGGGGGCTGCCCAGCCCTCCAGAAAATTGGCTGAAACCTGGAGATCCAGGCTCAGAGGAGTAGGAGGTCCTTTAATCAGTATCTCTAACTGTAGTAGCCTAGATAGAGAAGTCAGCGGAACTTGAGGTGAAGATTTTTCACCTCTGAAAATGAAACTGCAGTTAGGCTGAGCGGCCGGGGCCAGGGGTCTGGGCTGTGTGAGAGCTCCCCCTGCTGCCTCCCTCCTCTCATCGCTCCCTGTACTCACCATGTCCTTCCAGTTAAACATGCATATGGCCACTGCCACAGATCTAGAGTGACTGTCCCTCAGCCTCTGAGGTTTAGGCACCCCAGCTTCAGCCTAACATAATGAACTTTGCCTTCAGAGCCTTGTTCCTTACAGAGCTACATTTTCCAGGCTTCCTGACCTTTTATAATTGAGTTGTTCCAGACTATTTAACCTAGCTTCCCATTATTCTGTGCTGCTGCCATCTCCTCTTGGTCCCCTTGTCATAGAACTTTCTTATATTCCAAATAGGATGGCAGAGTACCATCTTTTCCAGAAGGACTTCGTGCCTGAGGTCCCTGCTTACCCACCACATAGTTCCTTATGACTAAATGGTGTCTTGGTATCCTCTTCTGTCTCCAGCATTTGGTCTGGTTCTCTCTCAGACTGGCTGGACCAACCTGAAGGAATGGAAACAGTAGTATGTGATGCAGTAGCAAGTAGGGAAGGGTTGCTAAGTATTCTGGTCCTAATACTTGCTCTTTTTCTAGCCACAGCACTGATGAAGGGCAGCAAATCCTGCAGCAGCCGGTGCCAGAGAGATTGGACTTTGTGTGCAACTTTCTGCAGAGTAAGCACTTTTCTTACCTAGCTGAGAATGAGCTGCTTCCTCAGCTCCTGGGACATGGGAGTCTGGAGGAATCAGTTCACAGGTGTGTGGAGGAGCAAAGGCTCACCTGCCAGTTCTGTATCACAGAAGTGAATACAGCTGGGACAGTTTCCCTGGGCCTGGTGATGCATACACCAGTTAGGGAAGAAGAGTGTCCCTTCAGTCCTAGAGCCCATCTTCAAGATCCAGGTGGAGCCAGAGGGTAGTTTTGGGGACTCAACACTGAGGGCTACTGCTTCCCTCACTGCAAAGAGATGGAAGAGAGAGAAGGATCCATGGTTCCCTCTTTCCTTTGCAAGAAAACCATTTTCCCCAGATAACTTTGAATTAATTGCTTAGTCAGTAGATGTAGGGGCAGAGGCAGATTTAGGTTGACATCTTTGGCCCTTCTACTCACAGCTTGTGTAGGGCATAGTTTCCCTGTCTATAAAAAGGAAATAATAATAATTACTCCAAAGGTTGGTGGGTAGATTAAATGAGAACATAGGCAAAGCACAGTGCTTGTCAGTTCCCCTCCCTCATACAGTCACAGACAGAGTCCTCATCTTTGACACAGGATCTATCTGCCATTTCTCCACCTGAGAGACTTATAGGAAAGGTGATAATAGATTTAGATAAAGCAAGCATAGAACGAGGTGTCCCCAGTCCTAGCTGTAGGTCCTGTATGACCTTAGTTGGAACCCTAGGCTCCTTCTCTGTGGTGCTGAGTGGGAGTTGGTGTGTGGGTAGGTGATTGCAATGTCATGCCCCAGAGCTGCTATGAATTCCTAACCTGCTTTCTTTTGAACAATCCTTGTAGTCCTTGGACTGACCCAGGACAGAACTAACTTCAGATGGAAATATGTATGTTGGGGAGATGGGACACAAGAGTAAGGAGTCCTCCATCTCCTAACTCTACCTGAGACAGCGATTCTGCTCCTCTGAATCAGAGGTATTCTGATGATCTCGGGGATGGTCCCCGGAAGTTCACCATTTTCTACATTGTCATTACAGAAAACCAAAAACACCCCTCTTCTCCAGAATGCCTGGTGTCAGTACAGAAGGTGATAGAGGGGTCAGAGCTGGAATTGGCCAAGGTACCTATGAATACCAGATTGGTGAGGGGCCAGGGAGGGTGGCCCTGGAGGGACCTGCAGGGCCTTCTCTTAACCCAGGAGAAGTGGAAGGCTGCTTTATTTTTGGGGTTCATGGAGGTTAAAGGTAGGTCCAAGGCAGAGGCTAATTCAGCCCAAGGATTCTAGGAGTCCATGCTGTGTGACAGAAAAGTATAACAGTACTATGGGCCTTGATGGAGACCTGGAAGGAGTCAGGCCTCACCTAGCTTCTATCATACTTTTCTTTCTAGCTCAGGCTATTTAATTCCCTTTTCTATTTCCGAGTGCTGGCCTATAGAGGGTAACCTCATACCCGGGTACCATTGAGTCCAGAAATTGAGGTGTGCAGGAATCCTGACACCCAGCTTTTTGCACTTTGGGCATTGAGTCCTCAAACAAGTGTTGCCTGGTGCAGTTAAGGCCAGGCACCTAGGTGCTTTGGAAGAGTCTACAAAGTAGCCCAGAAGAGCACAGAATGGGGAGCACTGATGAGAGACAGCCCTGCTCAGCGACTGCCTCCTGTTTGGCTTCTAGATGACCATGCTGCTCTTGTACCACTCCACCATGAGCTCCAAAAGTCCCCGAGACTGGGAACAGTTTGAATATAAGATTCAGGTAAACCCTTGTGCCTCCATCCCACCTTGCAGGCATAGCCTGCGCTTCACCTCACCCCACTGTTTTTTCTTTAAGCAGTATATATTGTGCTTTTTAAAAATTATGTCATGGTAATTACAGCCATTTATTATAGAAGGTCTGGAACTATTGAAAAAAATAAACAGAAGACAATAATAATTGCTAATAATCTCATTCCAAGAGATGACTGCTAACTCTTAAAGGGTATGCTTCTAAGTCCTTTTTCATTTGTATATGTTTATACTGTTTGAGTAATACATAAAAATTGTTCTCTTGATATATGTGTTCCTCTGTGTGTGTATTTTTTACACAAACTGTCACTCCATTTACATTCTTTCCTCTAGTAGGAAGGATAAGTGAGAATGTCTGTCCACCATGAGTCTAGCTCAGAGTGGTTACCTCCTCTCACCTTCTCTACATGGTCCCTAAATGAAGAGAAACTGGTGCATCTGCTTCATTATAGAGAGACTTGACCTGGTTTCCAGGACTACCTGCCATGTGGGTCCTGATGTTGGCCTTGCTTCCTGCATGAGCAGCTATCCTTTATTTCCCAGGCAGAAGTGGCTGGGATGCCACAGTGGGTAATGTAGTTAACTCGGGGGCAGTGTCCAGAGAGCTGTGCTTAATCATCCTATTTCATATGCACTTAGCTCATGGCTCCTCTGTGGGGTTGGGGTTGTAGTGGTATGGGGGGATGGTTCCTTCCTTCAAATTTTTCTCTGCTCCACTCTGGTCACAGATCTGGTAGAAACAGAAGTTCTAAAGGAATAAGGAACTATAGCAGAGTTGTCTAGGAAAATCATATCAGCTCTGTAACTCTGGAATGAGAAAATGAAGGGAAGCTTTTTTCTGAGCTGGAGGATAAGCTTCAATGAGCCCTGGAGGTAATCTTACAACAGTGCAGTTCACCTGGAAGCAGCTCTAGTAGTTCCACATAACAGCTTTCTGCCTACACTGCTTTCCTGCCTGTTCTGTTCTTTGTGGTCAGGAGTGAGGTCAGTCAGGAACCGTGTCTGAGCCCAGGTGCATCATTAGGGGAGGCGAGGGGGTGGGAGCAAGTGGGATGAACTCATCTCTAGTGGAATATTCTCAGCTGGACTTGGAGCTTCAGGTTCTGAGAGGAAGACTGAGCTCCAGCAGGCTCCTGGGGCTGGCACTGCCAGGGTTTCACCCTCTATGCCTTTAGGCCTCCCTAACACCTGAGTGATGCTACTTTTCTCTCTGCTCCAGGCTGAGTTAGCTGTCATTCTCAAATTTGTGCTGGACCATGAGGATGGGCTAAACCTGAATGAAGACCTAGAGAACTTCCTGCAGAAAGGTAAGCAGGGTCCACTCCTGAGGATCTGCTGCTACTGGGCTGGGGAGAGCTAGGATCCTGAGTTGTCGAGGACAGCAGTGGGGGTTTGCTTCTGGCCCCATCGCAAGGCGGAGTTGGTTGTCAGGAAGAGTGTGTGATAGAGCATCTGACTTGTGGGCCATGTTGCTGTCCTCCCAGTTCCTAGGGAGCGGCTCCGTGGTGCCTGGCAGCAGCCAAGCAGGACATTTTAAGTGGTCATGTCTACTGTTTGGTTGTTCTCCATCACTCCATATGGGCACCTTTTTTGCTTTTTATTTTTTAAACAATCACTATTCTAGGTTTAGAAGCTGGGAGTACACAGTCTAAAAAAATGTTCTTTCCCACATGAAGCTCATGTTCTAGGTGGGAAGATACACAAGCCAGCAAGAATGATAAGGAATAAGTACTAGAACAGAGAGGTACCGAATTTGCCAGTTGTCTTGCTGAAAGTACGTTAGAGTGATGGCTCTGGTTGTCTTCTGATGAAGAAAGAAGATGCCATCTAAGGATGATAGGATCTAGACATGGGTCAGGCAAGTTCTCTTCCAGCCACTGACTTTGATATTTCTCATATTTACGTTCCTCATGAGCCCTCCAGATAGAGACATAGGAAATGTGAGTCTAGAATGCAGGTGAGGGCTCTGGGCCAGAATATGGGTTTGCAGGTCAGTGTGTGGATGATCTTGAAGCCAGGAGCACTGTAGGCAGAGCAAGGAGGCCCCAGAATTCTAGGGGCTTAGAGGGTGGGTGGAGGAGGGAGGAGCAGATATGGAAACTAAGAGAAGGTGTTCAGAGGTAGGAGAGCCATGTGAAGGTGGTCATGGCAACTACGGAAAGGGGAGGTTTTGAGAAAGAGGTCAGTGACTCTGTCCTGAGAGGTTGTTGGGACTGAGAGAAGATCCTGCTCAGAAGGTTCCCAAGCTGCCTCTGCAGTGTTGGCTTGAGAGCAAAGCATGGGTACTTGGCCCAGTGACTGAGCATGGAGAACCCTCACTCCACTGTGCTCTCCTTGAACGCTGATGATATGTGCAAATGGAACCCATTGCTTGATTTGGCTTAGGGACACCGACCCTGGATAATCCAGACACCAGGTTTCAGGTTCTGCTGAGCGGCATTCCTCTGGAGCTTACCTATAAGTGTCTGTGGATTCACTCCCACTAAAGCAAGATGCAAATCTGTTGACCTTTACTGACTTCTATGTGGTTTGTTTGTCTGCTTCTCCCCCACAGCTCCTGTCCCTTCCACCTGTTTCAGCACCATCTCTGAAGAGCCCTCCCCACCCAGCCACCAGGCAAAGAGGGAGGTTCGCTTCTTAGAACTGCAGAAGGTTGCCTCTTGCAGTGGGAACAAGTAGGTGCTAGGCCTCTTCTCCTGGGATGGGGCCAGAACATCCAGGGGGCCTCAAATCCTTGCATTCCACAGGCTAAGCTGTTGACCAGCCTTTTACCTCTTCAGAGAGTACTTGAAGTATTCTGTAGATCTGGGGTGTCCTCACCTGCCCCACAACTAACTGGGGGAATTGGCTGGAGTCTGTCTTTGGCAGAAGGCCTCCCTCAAAGGCTGTTCCCTGTTTATTGAATTCCTCTCTTCCTTGGAGACTATGTTAAAGTCTTTCAGTGCAGCTCTTCAGAGGCAAGGAGAGTGTATCCTTTTTTTCTTTCTTTTTTGACAAATTAAGGCTTGAGAGGGAGAAGAAAAGTTCTATCAAGGTTATGTCATGAGGGATGAGGTCAGCACTGCAGTCAGAACCATGTGTCTGACCTCTCAGCCGGTGCTCCCATCACAGAGCCCTGTCATGCTGTTCGCTTCAGCCCCGCGTCTTGGCTCTGACATGGCACGTGGGCCGTCTCCTTCCTCAGCTTCCTCTCAGGTTCTCCACCCTCCCCCATGGGTGACATCCTGCAGACTCCACAATTCCAGATGAGACGGCTAAAGAAGCAGCTTGCAGATGAGAGAAACAATAGAGATGAACTGGAGCTGGAGTTGGCTGAGAACCGCAAGCTCCTCACAGAGAAGGGTAGGTACCTGGCCCACTGGCATGTGAACCGGCAGCACTTGGGATTTTCATCCAGGGCAGCACTGGGTTTGTCTGAGCAGTGGCCCCTCCGCCTCTCATGCTGTGGCCCTGTCAGGCCAACTTCCTGCAAGCTGGTTCTGTCCTTGCTGCCATCCTCCCTTCCCTTGGCCTGGATGTCTCCTCCTCTCTCCTCTTGGTTCTGTGCTGACTCTCCTCTCTTCTTGCCCCTCGTCTGGGGCAGATGCACAGATAGCCATGATGCAGCAGCGCATTGATCGGCTGGCTCTGCTGAACGAGAAGCAGGCAGCCAGCCCGCTGGAGCCTAGGGAGCTTGAGGAGCTCCGGGGCAAGAATGAGAGGTATAGTCTCCCTGCCTTCCCAGCTCCTGTCCCACACTCATGGGTTAGGGGGATACACTCTTTTCTCACTGCTCCCCTCCCTCTCAGCCTCACCCTGAGGCTTCATGAAACTCTGAAGCAGTGCCAGGACCTGAAGACTGAGAAGAGCCAGATGGATCGCAAAATTAACCAGCTTTCTGAGGAGAATGGGGACCTTTCCTTTAAGGTGAGTGTTTGGTGGTGTGTGTGTGGGTGAGTGGGGATGGCGCTCTGGTCCCGCTAGGTACCCCTTGCAGCTGAGTTGGTCTGGATGATTCCCCAAGATAGGGTTATACAAGAATGTCCCAGTCTGTCATGAGACCTGTGTACTTTGCCCCTTTCCTCATCCTGTAAGTGGCTGCTTTCAGGCACTAGGTTGTGGCCCCACATTTTGATTTGTAGTTTTGAGTTAGAGATGTGATTAATTATGATTGGTTTGAGGAAGACTGGGAGGATACTCAGAAGCATCCCCCACTGGAGATCAGGGAGCAAACGGAGTGGTGGCGCCAGTTCTGACCCTGGGGGACGGGGATCCCCCTTGTCTGTCTCAGCTGCGGGAGTTTGCCAGTCACCTGCAGCAACTACAGGGTGCCCTCAATGAACTGACAGAGGAGCACAGCAAGGCCACTCAGGAGTGGGTGGCAAAGCAGGCCCATCTGGAGGAGGACCTCGGCACAGCCCTGCAGGACAAGGTAGCCCCCTGCTTTGGGGAATAAGGGCCATAATTGTAACTACATGCTGAAAGCTGAATTCCATTTTCTGCTGTATTCTTTGGGCCTTTGGGAGTTTAGCTACTTTTCTTCAAGGTGTAATAGTGTGCTGAAATGGCAGACTGTGGGCTTAAGTCCAATATACCTTGAATCCTGTCTCTGCTGTTTACATGGTGCGGCTCTTGGACATGTTACTTGACCTCCTAAGCAGCCTATCCTTAAGATGGGAAAAGTAAGGAGCAGCTGCTGCATTGTAAGATATTGTGTGGTGCAAAGTAAGCTCTCAGTGAATTAGTTACTAGTACTAAAATCTCAGCTCTGCCACTTACTAATCACGTAGCCCTGGGGCAAGACAATTAACATCTGAGATTGAGATCCCTGCTCTGTAAAAGAGGGGTAGTAACAGCTGCCTCCTGTATCTGTTGGGTGGATGAGGGATCAGAGAAGCACCCAGCAGTCCAGCCCAGAGCGGTTGGCTGGGGAGGGTGTGTGCTTGTGGCCACCTTCCCTCTTGATGCCCAGACAGGCAGAGGGTGTTTTTAAGCTAGTGGGTGTTAGGATAATCTGGGAGCAATGACTTGTCTGAGGATGGGTAGGGTATACAGTAAGGAAATTTGAAATAAACTCAGTGGCCTTGCAGAAGACGTTAGTAGGTCACATTACTTAATTCAGTCCTGGAATTAGGCTAGGAAGTCACATCCCTCATGGTTCCAGGTCCATGTTTTCTGAGTATTTCCCTAGGTCAGGGCAAAAGGAGATCTTGGTAACAAGGTGATAGGGTCTCATGTTTTGTTAACATTCAATCTGATGCCTGTTCCACCTTTGTTCACACATGGCTTTTTACTCCTAGAAATGCCTTGAAGAGAAGAATGAAATCCTTCAGGGGAAACTTTCACAGCTGGAAGAACATTTGGCCCAGCTGCAGGAGAACCCACCCCAGGAGAAGGGCGAGGTGCTGGGGGATGTCTTGCAGGTAGGAATGTGCTGTGCCACATGTGGGTTTCTGGTGATTCTCAGTTCTGGAGGGGCCATGGTGGCTGAGGAAGCATGCTGATCTGGATTTATCTCTTTGCCTCACCAGCTGGAAACCCTGAAGCACGAGGCGGCCACTCTTGTTGCAGACAACACCCAGCTCCAAGCCAGGGTGAAGGCATTGGAGACCGAGCAGGGCCAACGTGAAGCCAAGTTGCTTGCTGAGCGGGGCCACTTTGAAGAAGAAAAGCAGCAGCTGGCTGGCCTGATTGCCAAGCTACAAAGCTCCCTGACCAATCTTAGCCAGGCTAAGGAAGAGCTGGAGCAGGCCTCCCAGGCTCAGGGGGCCCAGTTGTCTGCCCAGGTGGCCACGCTGACCTCTGAGCTTACCACCCTCAATGCCACTCTTCAGCAGCAGGATCAAGAACTGGCCAGCCTGAAGCAACAGGCCAAAAAGGAGCAGGCCCAGCTAACCCAGACCCTCCAGCAGCAAGAACAGGCTTCACAGGGCCTCCGCCACCAGGTGGAGCAGCTGAGCAGCCGCCTGAAGCAGAAGGAGCAGCAGTTGGAGGAGGCCACCAAGGAGCGGGAGGCAACCAGGCAAGACCATGCCCAGCGACTGGCTACTGCTGTGGAGGAGCGGGAGGCCTCCTTAAAGGAGAAGAATTTAGCCCTGAGGCAGCTGGAGGCTTTGGAGAAGGAGAAGTCTGCCAAGCTAGAGGGCCTGCAGCAGCAACTTCAGGCTGCTAATGAAGCCCGGGCCAGTGCCCAGACCTCAGTGACACAGGCCCAGCGAGAGAAGGCAGAGCTGAGCCAAAAGGTGGAGGAACTCCATGCCTGTGTTGAGGCAGCCCGTCAGGCGCAGTGTGAGACTCAGGCCCAGGTAGCAGAGCTAAAGACCAAGCTGAGGTCTGAGCAACAAAAAGCAACCGACAGAGAAAAGGTTGTCCAGGAGACAGGCCAGCTCCAGGAGCGGGTCCGGGCCCTTGAAGAGTCCTTGAAGATCAGTAAGGGCAGCCTTGAAGAGGAAAAGCACAGGGCTGCAGATGCCCTAGTAGAGCAGAAGCGTCGTATCTCCCAGCTGGAAGCAGAGACCAGGAGCCTGGTAGAGCAGCATAAGCAGGGACAGAAGGAGCTGGAAGAAGAGAAGGCTGGGCGCAAGGGGCTGGAGACCCGGTTACGGCAGCTTGGGGAGGCCCATCAGGCTGAGTTGGAAGCCCTGCGGCGGGAGCTGGCAGAAGCAATTGCCTCCCAGCAGGAGGCTGAGAGTGAATGTGAGCAGCTTGCCAAGGAGGTGGCTGCCTGGCGTGAACGGTACGAGGATAGTCAGCAAGAGGAGGCACAGTATGGCGCCATGTTCCAGGAACAGCTGATGACCCTGAAGGAGGAATGTGAGAAGGCTCGCCAGGAGTTGCAAGAGGCAAAGGAGAAGGTGGCAGGCATAGAGGCCCATAGTGAGCTCCAGATAGGCCGGCAGCAGAGTGAGCTAGCTCAGCTCCATGCCAACCTGGCCAGAGCCCTCCAGCAGGTCCAGGAGAAGGAGGTCAGGGCCCAGAAGCTGGCAGATGACCTCTCCACCTTGCAGGAGAAGATGGCTGCCACCAGCAAGGAGGTGGCCCGCCTGGAGGCCTTGGTGCGCAAGGCAGGTGAGCAACAGGAAACAGCCTCTCATGAGCTACTAAAGGAGCCCCCAAAGGCAGGAGACAGAGAGTCAGAGTGGCTGGAAGAGCAGCAGGGACGCCAGTTCTGTAGCACACAGGCTGCATTGCAAGCCATGGAGCGTGAGGCAGAACAAATGGGCAGTGAGCTGGAGAGGCTGCGGGCTGCGCTGATGGAGAGCCAGGGGCAGCAGCAGGAGGAGCGGGGTCAGCAGGAGCGGGAGGTGGCGCGGCTGACCCAGGAACGGGGCCGGGCCCAAGCTGATCTTGCCCTGGAGAAGGCTGCCAAGGCAGAGCTTGAGATGCGGCTGCAGAATGCCCTCAATGAGCAACGAGTGGAGTTTGCTACCCTGCAAGAGGCACTGGCCCACGCCTTGATGGAAAAAGAAGGGAAGGACCAGGAGCTGGCCAAACTTCGAGGGCAGGAGGCAGCCCAGAGAACAGAGCTAGGGGAGCTTCGGCAAACCATGGAGCAACTGAAGGGACAGCTGGCCAAGAAAGAAGAGCGCCAGCAGTCAGTAGGGCTGGCCAGTGCAGAAGATGCTTCTGGGTCAGGAGCCCAGTCTCAAGCTGCCGGAAAGACTGAACGCAAAGGCCCTGAGCTGGAGGCTCTGCGGGCAGAGATGAGCAAGCTGGAGCAGCAGTGCCGAGAGCATCAGGAAAAGACCTCCAGCCTGGAGCGCAGCCTGGAGTCTGAGCGTGCTTCCCACGCTGAGCAGGCCACTGCTCTGGAGGCTTTGAGGGGCCAGTTGGAGGAGAAGGCCAAGGAGCTGGGGCGTGGTCAGGACACCTTAGCCTCAGCCCAGAGGGAGCTGGCCGCCCTCCACGCCAAGGCCCAAGACCACAGCAAGGCTGAGGATGAGTGGAAGGCCCAGGTGGCCCGGAGCCAGCAGGAGGCTGAGAGAAAAAACAGCCTCATCAGCAGCCTGGAGGAAGAGGTGTCCATCCTTAACCGCCAGGTCCTGGAGAAGGAGGGCGAGAGCAAAGAGTTGAAGCGGCTTGTAATAGCTGAGTCGGAGAAGAGTCAGAAGCTGGAAGAGAGGCTGCGCCTGCTCCAGGTAGAGACAGCTAGCAGCAGCGCCAGAGCAGTGGAACGCAGCTCCGCTCTGCGGGAGGAGGTACAGACCCTCCGGGAGGAGGCAGAGAAACAGCGGGTGGCTTCGGAGAGCCTGCGGCAGGAGCTAGCCTCGCAGGCAGAGCGAGCGGAGGAGCTGGGCCAAGAGTTAAAGGCATGGCAGGAGAAGTTTTTCCAGAAGGAGCAGGCCCTGTCTGCCTTGCAGCTGGAGCACACCAGCACACAGGCCCTGGTGAGTGAACTGCTGCCCGCCAAGCACCTGTGCCAGCAGCTGCAGGCTGAGCAGGCAGCTGCTGAGAAACACCATCATGAGGAGCTGGAGCAAAGCAAACAGGCAGCTAGTGGGCTGCGGGCAGAGCTGATGCGGGCCCAGCGGGAGCTTGGGGAGCTGGTGCCCCTGCGGCAGAAGGTGGCAGAGCAAGAACGGGCAGCCCAGCAGCTGCGAGCAGAGAAGGCCAGCTATGCAGAACAGCTGAGCATGCTGAAGAAGGCTCATGGCCTGCTGGCAGAGGAGAACCGAGGGCTGGGTGAGCAAGCCAACCTTGGCCGGCAGTTTCTGGAAGTGGAGCTGGACCAGGCCCGGGAGAAGTATGGCCAAGAGGTGGCAGCTGTGCGTGCTGACGCTGAGGCCCGTCTGGCTGAGATGCAGCGGGAAGCCCAGAGCACGTCCCGGGAGCTAGAGGTAATGACTGCCAAGTATGAGGGTGCCAAGGTCAAAGTCCTGGAGGAGAGGCAGCGGTTCCAGGAAGAAAGGCAGAAACTCACTGCCCAGGTAAGACACCTAGCTCAACCACACTCCCAATGATCAGACCTGAGAGAGTTGCGTTGGCCCTCCACATTCCTCTGGCTCCCATAGCATTGTAGGGTGTCTTGTATGCCCTCATTCTCTGGGTGGCTGAGGAAGGGGGTTGCTGAGGAAGAGAGGTGGCTGGTAGAGTTCAAGTCTCTTGCCTCCTGTTGTCCTAAAGAAAGTATCAGTAGCCTCCTCATCGCTAAAGGCTCTGTCCCTGGAGAGGCAGGCTGTGAAGGCCATCAGCCCATTCTGGAGACACACACCGTGAGGAGGCACACCTTCCTTGGGGGTTCCAAGAGCCACTGGGAATTAGAATGAGCTAAACTGGCATTTTTAAAACTACCAGAAGTCTGGTTCTTTGGGGGAAAGTATCATAGCCTCAGTGAGGTCAGCCTGGAAGTGGGGCAGGTGTCTCTTTGGCTCCTGTCTCAGTCTGTCTCCGTTGCTCCTCCCTCATGCACAGGTGGAGCAGCTAGAGGTATTTCAGAGAGAGCAAACTAAGCAGGTAATGCCTGGGGTCCCCGCTAAATGCTGGCTGCTTAAGCGGTGACCAGTCTCGGTGCATGACCCTGGTTGCAGCTTGCCTCTGCCAGCTCCTGCTGTGAACTGTTTGTGAAGGGGGCAGGGTCAAGTCATGGAGTCCAGGTCCAGGCTGCCCAGGAGTGTGGTGTGCTGGGCCCTCTCTTGGGCCTCATCCCACCCATCCCAGGTCGGCCTCCCCGCTTTCTGCACTTACTTCCTGTTATCTGTCTCTCAGGGACAAGGGAAGGGGTAGGGAAGGCTTCATCTTTCCTATATCTGAACTAGTGACAATCCTTGTGGTTCCCAAACTTCCATGTCCTGGTTGAAGTTTGGGTACTCAACTCGGAGGGGCACCTTGTTTCACACAACCCCCTGCTTTCCCACAGAAGCCATTAAGGTGGTACAAGGCAGCCCTCAGGTTAGGGAGCTATGAACTGGGGATGCCTGCTCTTGGGGCTTTAACTCCAAGCATGAAAAGGAGATGTTGGGGAGTAGGCAGGCCAAGGTGGAGAGTGCAGACGGAGCCTTTACCAGAAACTGGCTGCCTCCCACCAGCCAGTTCTCTGTGCTGCCCTAGATGTCAAGGCTGTTGAGTTGGTGTTCGCAGGAGCCCCCTTTTCCCCCAACCCCTCCTACCCAGTCACCTCAGGCCTGCCGGAACCGGGTCCCCTCCCTCCATCACCTTCTCAGGTGCCTGTCAGGGTGGGAATGAGACGCAGCAGCAAACAGCAGTGGGTCTTGCCGCTTGCCTTCACTGATTGTGCTTGAGCCCTGGGGTGCCTGGCAGAGCCAGGAGTGCTGGTGGCTGTTCTGCACCCTCCGCCCTGCCTGTGGGAGTGGGAGTGGGGTGGGCCTGGAGTACGTGAGCCGCCCTGCTGCTGTCTTCAGCAGCCTGGTCCCCAATGCTAACCTCGGCAGCCACACTGCCAGTGCCAATCCTAATGGCCTGTGGATATCAGTAAGAAGTCTGAGCATCTTTTGGATTTTGCCTTGGCAGACTAGGTCCCCTGTTCCTGTCCCCAACCTGGAAAGGTTGGGGTTGGGGGTTGGGGCTGGGACTGGCAGCAGCAATAAGGTGATGGTGAGGTGTCAGCACCGGGGTCAATTCTGCTGAATGTGGCAGCTGCAGGGGTTGTGCAGGCTGGTCTCTGCAGGCTGGGGGAGAGGCGAGCGTGGGCAGGTGGTTCTTACAGCACCTGGGTGTTGGGTCACCTCACTCAGGTCCTGCCATCCAGCCTGGGAAGCAGGCTGTTCCCTAATTGATGCGAGGAAAAGGACCCGAGTTTCTTTTCTAGGGAAACAGGACTGGCTTGAGGAAACCCCATAATTTGTTTGGACCTCCAGGGGAGGCCTCCTGAGTCTTCTTCTCTTCCCGCCCCTGCTGCAGGTAGAGGAGCTGAGTAAGGTGCTAGCTGACCACGACCAAGCCAGCAAGGCACAGCAGCAGCAGCTGAAGGTGGGGCGGCGAGAGCGAGGCTGGGAGGGAAGTGCTCTGTAAGGACTCAGGCTGTGGTGGGTTTGGGGTCAGAGGGACACCCTATGCCTGTGGCTCAGGAGCCCTACAGGTGCCCCTGGGAACTCTCAAGGGAAGACCAGAGTAGCTCCCATCCCTCAGACCTTCCTTGTCCACTGCAGTAGCCACTAGCCATGTATGCTTGCAGTTCTTCACTCACACTAGCCACACTTCCCCTGCTCAGTAGTTACGTGTGACTAGTGGCTACCATATGGATAGGGCACAGGCAGCACATTTCCATCCCTGCAAAGTTCTGTTGGATAGTACTGGTCTAGACAGTCTAGCCTCATGGAGTGAGAGCATCAGCGTCACTTAATATTATAGTGCAGATTACGTTTTCTTAATGTTTTCAACAGCATTAAGAAATCAAACAAAGTGTAGGAGCTTCTTTGTTTTAATACCTGCTTTTTGCAGTGTTGGTCTTCACAGCTTTTAGTTAAGGGTGCAGGAATTGGGCATCTTTGACCCTGGGGCTTGCTAAAGCCCTGGTGGGTCACATAAGCTGGTGGAGGCCCAGAACTTCATTTTCCCAACTCACCTACATGCACTCAACACCATGTCATGATATGTGATAAACAAGGCCAAATGGGAGCCTTCCTGGTGCTAGGAGATGTAGGAGAGGTGAGGCTGATGGTCCAGTTCAGTGTCTATTAGAAGAACTAATAAGCACTTGCTGGCACTGTAGGTGGACAGAGACTCAGACACAGGCCCAACTCCTAGGGAGTCTGTGGTCTGGATAGGAGGCAGTGCCACATCACAAATGAGTCCATATGGGCTTTGGAGTTGGGTGACAAGGTTCAAATCTTACTCTGTTTATAGTCACTATGACCCTGGTCATTTCTCTGAGCTCAGTTTCTTCATCTCTGAAATGGAGATAAAGTTACTTCCCAGATTGATTTTGAGGAGAAATGAGTTCACATGGCCTCAGCTCGCATGCCAAGTGCCAGCTCTGTGCCGTGCACATAGAGGTGTTCCCTGACAATCAGTTCCTTCCTCTTTGGGGAGGTAGTATACTCACTAAGGATGAGACAGTTTGTATCTGGTCTCAAAGAAAGCAAAGAAAGGGCTGTCTAAACTCGGCCAGATGACACTGGCTGGACAGGGAAAGTTCCTATAGAAAGTAGACCTTGAAGGATGTGTTGTTTCAGTAGGCTGGAGTTGTGAGGGTGGGTAAAAGCATTTTTTGTGTGTCCTGAGAGCATATGCAGGAGTTTGAAAACACCCATGGAGTCCAAGAAGGTAGGCAAGTCTCAGAGGATTTGGGTGGAGCAGCCAGCTGCCCTGATCAGCCTTTCCCATGCTTTCTAGGCCCAGGGAGGGGAGAGCCAGCAAGAGGCCCTGCGTCTCCAGGTGCAGCTGAATGAGCTGCAGGCCCAGCTGAGCCAGAAGGAGCAGGCAGCTGAGCACTACAAGCTGCAGGTGAGGAGCCTAGCATCTGCACTGCCATCCTGCACCCCTGCCCACCCACCACCACCTGCCCTGTCTGCCCTCACAGATGGAGAAAGCCAAGACGCATTATGATGCCAAGAAGCAGCAGAACCAAGAGCTGCAGGAGCAGTTGCGGGGCCTGGAGCAACTGCAGAAGGAAAACAAGGAGCTGCGGGCTGAAGTGGAAAGGCTGGGTCGGGAACTGCAGCAGGCTGGACTGAAGACCAAGGAAGCTGAGCAGACCTGCCACCACCTTACTGCTCAGGTGCGCAGCCTGGAGGCACAAGTAAGTATCCCTCCCCCTTGGCCTGTTGGGCCCTTACGGCCTCCTCTCCTAAGCCACCTCTGCCTCAGGCTTCCCTCACTCTCTCTGGCCCTCTTGTTCCCAGGTTGCCCACGCTGACCAGCAGCTTCGAGACCTGGGCAAGTTCCAGGTGGCAACTGATGCTCTGAAGAGCCGGGAGCCCCAGGCTAAGCCTCAGCTCGACTTCAGTATTGACAGCCTGGATCTGAGCTGTGAGGAGGGGACCCCGCTCACCATTACCAGGTCAGGAGGTACCCTTCCTCCCTGATTAAGTGCCTACTGTTTTATCAGGCTGCATCCTGGGCAGTGGGGATCGTGAGATAAATAAGGTGTGGTCTTTTTGCCCTCCGGAAGCTTATTCTTAGAGAAGAATAAAGAATAAAGAAGAAGTATCAGGTTTTATGCCAGATGTTTATATAATGTGCAGTTGGAGTAAAATGAGTTGTCAGAAAAGGCTTCATGGAAGCTGTCGCTCCTGCTGAGTCTCCTTGAAGGCACAGGGGGGGTGTGCCTGTGAACAGGGGAGAGCGGTGAGAGCAAAGGCCAAGCGTGAGCCTGGCTGGGCTGGGCCAGCCTGACACCCCACTGAAGGAGGCGGGAATTGAGACTTGATTACAAAGGCATTGAGGAACCTTGGAAGGGCCTGAAATTGAGGTGTACATGGTCAGATTCGCATCTTGGAAAGCTTATCCTGATAGCCAGTGTAGGAGCTGAGACTGGAAACATTGTTTTTATTAAACATATGCATGCCAGGCACCTTTTTTAACACTTGAAAAATATTAATTCATTTATCCCTCAAAAACCTTCTGAGGTGGGTTTTGTGCTCATCTAACAGATGAAACTGTGGCCTAGAGGAGTGGTCACTTGCCCAAGGTCCCACAGTGGCAGGGCTGGGTTTGAACCTGGACAGCCCGTCTGAGTCCTTGTCACCACTCTAGTGCTGTGGTGGTCAGTCTCTGTGAGATGAGGCAGGCCAGGAGGGGCATGAGAGTGGAGTGGGGTGTGGTTAGGAGAGGCTGGGTTTGGTGAGAGGGAAGAGGCTGGATTGTGGGCTGGGGAACCTGATGGGAAGCTGCTCCCATTTGCTGAAATAGGAGGTAGAGGAGGAACAGACAGATTCCTCGCAGACCAGCAGTGGGTCTGTGGTCTGGAGGGAGCAGGGTCTGGGAGTGGCCAGCACTGGAGGGAGGAACCAGGTCAAGGGCTGTCCTTGGTACATCTGAAAATCAGAGGGCCTCGTCTACTTGTAATAAACGTCACTTTGAGCAAAGAAGCAGGCAGAACACCTTCCAGCCCCAGGAATGGCAGCTCCGCCATTTTCTTCCCTATAGCACACTGCCTCGGACCCAGCCAGATGGCACCAGCATCCCTGGAGAGCCAGCCTCACCCATCTCCCAGCACCTGCCTCCCAAAGTAGAATCCCTGGAGAGTCTCTACTTTACCCCCATCCCTGCTCGGGGTCAGGCCCCCCTGGAGAGCAGCCTGGACTCCCTGGGGGACATTTTCCCAGACTCAGGGCGGAAGACCCGCTCTGCTCGTCGGCGCACCACGCAAATCATCAACATCACCATGACCAAGGTCAGGCTGCTGGGAGTGGGGCAGCCAGGACACTGAGCACAAGGCTCACTTCCCCTCAACAGATCTTCCCATTGGGTCCTTAAAAACAGCCCCAAAGGCAGGCAGGGCTGACCAGTCTCTGACAGACGGGAAAGCTGAGATCCTGAAGAGGGGCAGTAAGGTGGGTAGGCCTCTTTTGTAGAAAGGGACAGAGCTGGAATTGGATACCTGTCTGCTGACTCTAAGGCCTGTGTCTTCCATGTTGTAACACTGACCCTGTGCAGACTGAAGGGGAGGCAATGCCAAGAAGCCCGGCCTATGCCTCCAAGCACACCCACCCTGGGTAGCTGAGATGCACGGTGGCTGCTCAGTGGGCTGCCTGCCAGGCTGGGTGCTCTGGCCCTTGGTTTCCATATCCCAAGGAGGTTGGGGAGGAGAGGAATCTTTGGTACAGCAGTGTGCCCTCTGCTACCAGGAAGCTGAAGTTCTAAAAGATGGTCGTGACCTGGGCAAGCTTGGGTCGAGGGACAGCAGCTGTGGGATGAGCCTGACTAGCTCAGAGATGTGGCTTCCAGCCCTGGCTCTGCCACTGTCTAGCTGTGTGTAATGTTTGGGCCACTCACTTCATTTCTTTGCACCCCACTTCTCAGATGGTCTGATCAACTCTGTCTCAAAGCACTGCTAACAGACTTGACTGGAAACAATGGGTAAAAAAAGAGACTTGACAGCCTCAGTACCTTGTGTGCGATTCTGGAAACAAGACCACGTCTTATAAACATGCAGCTGAGGGCCCCTGCAAAGCAGTGTATGGGATCTGAGGCACTTCAGGAAAGGGAATGGGAGGTTCCTTTATTGAGCATCAGGGCCTCCCCACTGCAACCGTAATCCTGTCTTCCAGAAGCTAGACGTGGAGGAGCCAGACAGCGCCAACTCATCCTTCTATAGCCCGCAGTCTGCCCCAGCTTCCCAGGCCAGCCCGCGAGCCACCTCCTCCACCCGGTCTCTAGCTCGCCTGGGCTCTCCCGACAGCGGCAACGCAGCTCTACTCAGCCTGCCTGGCTACCGGCCCACCACTCGCAGCTCTGCTCGCCGTTCTCAGGCCAGGGTGTCCAGTGGTGCCCCTCCAGGTACGGGGACTGGCAGGACTTACTGAACCTGAAGATGAGACTTGAAGCAGATCCTGGCACAGGAGAGGGGCAAGCTTTTAAAAAACCAACCCTGGCTTCCTGTTGGCACCTCACCCATCACTCCTCTGCAGTCTCAGGGCTTGGCTTGTCCACTTGGGCTGTGCTGGGCAATCAGGGTGATGCTGATCTCAGCCAGGGTGAACTGGACATGCTCACATGGGGGACCTGGGATCCTCAGCACAAAAGTGACACTGAGCTGCTGTCTGGAGTCCTCCACACCCCTTCTGAGGTGGTGAGGGGATGCTGGGACCAGGCTGGCCAGTGTTCTGTCCTCAGGGAGACCCTGGGTATCAACTCCTGGGGCTCAATTTCTTGGTATCACAACCTCTGCTATGACCTCTTCTGACTTTCCCAGGGAGACAGCAATGAAGCCCAGCTCCTGCATCTGGGGTACTGGGCTGAGGTCCATGGGTAGGTGGACAGGAGTGGTTCAGCAAAGGCTGGTGAGATGCGAGGGTCAGTGGGCAGCCTGCTGCTCCCTCACTCCTCCCAGCCCTCTAGCCCCACTTAGTCCAACATCCCTCCCCCTGCCTTCCTAGGAAGGAACAGCTTCTACATGGGCACTTGCCAGGATGAGCCCGAGCAGCTGGATGACTGGAACCGCATTGCAGAGTTGCAGCAGCGCAACCGAGTGTGCCCCCCACACCTGAAGACCTGCTACCCCCTGGAGTCCAGGGTGAGCCCTGGGGTCTTCTGCATGGGACCTGCCCACACTAGCTCAGCTCCTCCTCCACTGGCATATGCCCCAGTGCTCTCTGCTGAGGAGGATGGCCTTACATTCCCAGGAGGGAGCGCAGGGTGAAGTCACTGGGTGGGCAGGTGCTCAGAGGCCTGCCAGGGACTGCTCCTCTCTGGCCATTGTGCAGGGTGTAGGTAGAGAAGATGACAGGAAGGCTCCAGCTGCTCCACAGGCCAGGCCACGGAAGAGAGCTTTGGGGGCAGGCCTGCTCCGTCTCCAGATTTGGGCCCGCCCACTGACTTTTCTTGCACCCCACGCAGCCTTCCCTGAGCCTGGGTACCATCACAGATGAGGAGATGAAGACCGGCGACCCGCGAGAGACCCTGCGCCGAGCCAGCATGCAGCCAGCCCAGATAGCCGAGGGCACCGGCATCACCACCCGGCAGCAGCGCAAACGGGTCTCCTCAGAACCCCACCGAGGCCCTGGCACCCCTGAGGTGATTAGCGTCTCCCAGGGAGGCTTCTGGCTTGGGATGGTGGTGGGTATTGGTTGGACAGGTTGACCTCTAAGGCCCATGTGGCTCTGAGTGTGAAGTCTGCTTGCCGCCACCACCTGCCTGATGGTCTTCCCTATAGTCTAAGAAGGCCACCAGCTGTTTCGCACGCCCTCTGACTCCCCGGGACCGACATGAAGGTCGCAAACAGAGCACTACCGAGGCTGAGAAGAAAGCAGCTACAGCTGTTGTTAAACAGGTTAGTTGGGGGCTGAGGGTGACCCTGGGTGGGGGGCAGTGAGGGAGAGTCCAGCCTGACCACCCCTCCCCACAGGCTGACCGCCGCCAGTCAATGGCTTTCAGCATCCTCAATACACCCAAGAAGCTGGGGAACAGCCTTCTGCGGAGGGGCTCCTCAAAGAAAGCTTTGTCCAAGGCCTCCCCAAACACACGCAGCGGGACCCGTCGCTCTCCTCGCATTGCCACTGCGGCCAGCGCTGCCACCGCCACCCCTCGGGCCAAGGCCAAGGTGGAGGCACTGACTGGGAAGGGGGAGGGTTTGCCTCCTGGGAATCCTGGTGGAGGCAGGGCCAAGCCAGGCTGCCAGAGACTGCGGGCTCAGAGCAGGTGCTCCCGTCTGGGCCAGCTGGTCCTCACTGAGACCCACAACTCTGTTCCTACTGAGAATGCCTAGAGCTGCTCAGGGAGCCAGTGGCTGGCAACCTGAAGGGAGGTGGGACCAGGGCTGCACCAAGGAAGGGATCCCTGTCAGCCCAGTGACCATCTGTCTCTCTTTCAGGCAAAGCACTAAAGGTTCAGTACCAGTGAGTGGCCCCACCTGTGTCGATGCCGACCTCGCCTGGTCCTTCTCCTTCTGCTGTCCCTTTCAGTGCCTTCTCTCAGCTCCCAGGCCAACAGTAGCCAAACCCCTAGAGACAGTGATGCCTGCCCACTCCCCGACCTGGTACCTGGACCTTCACTGACGCCGTCTAGGTGAACAGAGAGATAGGTCCTCAGAGTTGGCCTGGAGCATCTGGGTCCTCTCCCTACCTTGCCTCCTGATGTTTTCTTAGAGCCAAGTCACTTCTACATCATAGTCAGATTTGAGGCTGACTTGGAGTGGCTGGGTCCTTGGGCTCAGCTAGTCCTGCTCTCAGCCTCTGGCTCTAGAAGGGACCATTAGAGGAGCAGGCCCTGGTACTCGCTGCTCCTGGTGGCTAGGCCTAGCAGGGCCCTTGCTTCTCAAGTCCAGGACTAGGCTCTAGCCTAGTGGGAGCACCCCACCACCAAGGGCACTGTGCCCAGAGGATGCTCTCTTCCAGGACAGGCAGGCCCCATGTCTCAGGGAGGTGGGAAAGGCAGCCTTCAGCGGTAGCTCATGCCTCATCTTCCCTAGACTTGCAATAGGGGGAGGGGGGAGGGAGGGGATTTGGAGTGATGGGAAGGTTTTTAAGGGCCAGGAATGGATCTTTTCTAAATGTTATTACTTGTAAATAAAGTCTATTTTTCTCCCTTGAGTGCTGTGCTGCCTTTATATGTATGGGAAAAGAAGGGAAATCTGGGCCCTTTAGAGCATACCTTTGTCTCTGAATCTTCTAGACCACGTATCTTCTCTCAAATCCCTTCTGGCCTTTCTGGGGCCACAAAATCTTCCCACACTCCACTGATGGCCTCTTCTCATTCTGAGGGCTAATGTCCCCTGAATCTGGTTTTGTCTTTAGCTTCTGTCTGGGTGGTGGTCCCTCTCTTCCCACACTCCCTCCTAGGACTGGCCAAGGTCTCTATGTGGAACGATGGCCTAAATGAGATGTCAGCACGCTTCCATTAAAAATTCATTTATGAGTGCCCATTATGGGTCCTGATGGGCATGAAAAGGATACAGCTGTTGGTCAGAAGCAGCCTGCCCCCATCCCTTCCCTGGGACAGTCCATTAGAGGTATAAAAACCCACAAACACAACACTAAGCCACTGCAGAACATGGCCTGAGCTGAGGGACAGCACGGCCCTCGAAGAAGAGGTGGCATTTCATCCGGGCTTCAGAGTTCATCTGTCATTGTGTTGAGGCAGAGGGAACCTACAAGAAGGAGAGTTTCTTGAGTTAGGGGCAAGACTGTCCTCATGCAGCCCAGCCTGGGGAAGTGAAGGCAGACAAGGATCAGGACCAACTGGGGAGGGACACCTCCCACCACTTTCCTCTAGACCACAGTTCCTTTCGTTTCCACCTCAGGCTTGGGGACTAGGGACGGGGAGGCTGCTTGGGGCAGAACCCACCCTTTCTGCCCCATACTGGAGCAGAGTTCCTCCTGTCTCTGGAAGCCTTTCCTCAGGCTCCTCACCCAGAGCTGGGCCAGGACAATGTGATGCTGGGCAATCTGCTCAGGATCCGTGAAGACACAGGAGAAGTTGGTGCTGCGCAAGGCAGGGCTCAGCTGCTCCAGCACCAAAGCCCTCTGCAGCCAAGTGCTCGCACCCCTGCGCTCCCGGCTAAAGCAGAGAAGGCAAGGCTGTGAGAGGACCATAGGAGGAGGCCCCCCTCCTGCTGGCCTCACCACCGCACCCCTCACCTGGTGGCGCCCTCCCGCAGCCGGCCTGGGAGGTGCTCGATGAAGGAACCATTGCCCAGCCAGTAGAGGATGCTGAAGGGGAAGCGGCTGCAAGCAGTACAGGACAAGGTCAGCGTTCCATCTAGGGACATGTGCCGCTGTTAGCCCTTCTGTAGAGTAGACCCTCCCCTCTGCCATGCTGTGGCCTGCCCGCCCGGCCCCATCCTCAGGATTCAGGAACCTGGGGTGCTGCTGTGCACACCACACAGGTGCAAAAGTCCATTAAAGGGGAAGTGCAGTTGTCCACACGGGGGGCCCAGGGCTGAGCAAGAGTAAATTGGAGATGGGCCCTTGGTTCATGTGATAATTCCTGGGCTTGTCTCCTCAGGTGGGCCTTTTCTAATACCCAGCTTCAGTGACTGGGAGCCCCAGCCAAGGAAGCACCACCACTGGCAGAAGCACAGCCACTGCTGCTGAGGTGGCCAGAGGACAAGCAGGTTGGGCAGAGAAGCTGGGCCACAAAGCACATTGCAGTCAAGGTTCTGGGGGTCCTCTGACCCTTACTTAAGTGTGATCTTCCCATCCCATATGATAGGGAGAATCTTGGGAGCTGGGCCCTGTGCCCATACTTGTGATGCCCCATGGGAGAGACTACTGGCCTGGTTGGTGGTGGACTACATGGCAAAAGGGGAGGAAAGGCCTCTGGAATCAATCCCACCCTTGGATCTGTGCCCACAGCCCACCCTCTGACCACGGGGCCCTTTAGGGTTCCCATCAGAATTGCTCCTTACTCAGTGGAACTTCCACTTCTGGCCAAGTCACCTCCAATGCTGGGCACTGCTTAGTTGCTGGGAGTACTGGGAGCCAGGAGAGACAGGGGTCCTTCATGCCCCCAGCTGAGGCAGTGGCAGCGGTGGTGGCCTGAGGTAAAGGTGTGGCTCTGGCCAGGTGGGTGACGACGTGAGCACACAGGAGCAGGACCCACAGAGGCCTGGAGTCTGAGGAAAGGGTGGTCACAGAGGGCAGCAGCTGTCTGGCTGCCTGGGTACACTCAGCATCCTCGCTTGCATCTTGGCTGGAGAGGGAGTTGCTACCTGGATGTAATTCTAGCCCAGAGACTCCTGGGCTACTGCCCAGAGAATTGGAGGGGCCGAACTGCCCCCCAGCCTCCACCTCTCGGTGCTTCTTGGACAAACACAGGAAAATTTAGAACAGAGCCAGAGTAACAGCAATTGAACGGAGGCTGGAAGAAGGGCACAACAGTGGAGTTCACCTGTAGGCTGAGACACAGGGCAGGCACAGGGCCCCATTCTGTTCTCAGACCCCACCTCCCCACCCCACCCCACCCATACCCAGCCCCCAGTCCCACCTGGTATCCAGTTCTGTCTCATGGTCATGATGCATGTGTCAGGAGCTGGCATGTGTCTGAAGCTGGCGTGCTTGGCTCTATTTATCTGTGACAACTTCCTCCTCTCTGGGGGAGGTCAGGGAGGAGGTGGGTGGGGACGGGAATGATGAATAAACCTCAGTGGCCTCCCTTCCCATAGACTCCCCTCTCTAGGTCTCAACTTGAAGCAGGCTGCCAGGCACTGCTATTTGTTTACTGTCCTATTTGCCCAAGCATCTGTCACAGGTTGGGGCTCTTCCAGCAGTTAAAACAAAGCTGGAGATGATCCAGTGACACTCTTTCTCCACCCTAGGTCTTATTACCATTACCGTTATGATAATAATGTTTGTCTAACCTAACCCTTTCATTACAGGGATGGAGAAAGTGAGGCCCAAGTCGGGGCTGGGACTTACCTAGTCACAAAGCTCTCTCCACACAGCCAGGGCTGGTTCTGGGAAGGGCAGGGTAAGTGAAATCCTTCTGGGAAAAGCACTGCCCCCTCCTATTTCGCTTTCACTTTTATTCTAACTAGGGAATCCAGAGCAGGCTCCAGGTCACTAGCAGACAAAGCACAAATGCATGGCGACCGCCCTCCTGCACATGGCGCCTCTTCCGGAGCAAAGCTTACAGTGGCCTTCAATCCTCCTGCTAATTAATTCCCAGACTCCCTGCTTCCAGATGATATCAGACCAGGGTAACAAACTTTGATCCAGCCTCAGCTTCAGCCTCCCAGGGTCACATCAGGCATGAAGTAATGAGTCCCTCACAGATCAATTCTGTCCCAGGCAAGGATCAGGACTTTGGTGTCCATCTTTGCCCTGCATCAAGGCCTTTGCTCCTACAGGAGTAGATGACCTGCTTCTTTCCTCACATTTCACAGCCATATTGGAGGGGACAACTCTCCTTGGCACTGGGGACCCCAAGTTGAATCATTTGACCATTTCAGGTTCAATGTCACACCAGCCCATTCACCATCCACATCCTGGCCTTTCTCAGGCTCTCCCTCCAACCACCACCCCAACACGTACCCATCATCCCAGCAAATCCTCCTCACTTCTCTCAGCCCAACCCCTTGGCCAGAGCTACAGTCTAGGTTCACCAGTAAGTCTGGAGTCCCTCTGCCTAGCCCCAAAGAGCCCTCCTCCTTGGAATCCCCCTCCCTGGAGCTCCACGGCTCAGCTAGCTGAGTCTGACCCAGTCTTGTCTGCAGGAAGCTCTCCAAGCCAAACTGAGAACCTGGAACACCAGCTGGAGCACTGGCCTTAAAAGGAGGGGAGGGCACCGCCCAGGGAAGAGGAGCAGCAGGCCAGCACAGGCTTGGGCAACAGTGTATAAATATGTCACTCTGGTCACTGATGGCACAAATGGGTGGGGCTGTGGTGGCCAGGACTATGGAACGGCGAGGAAGGCGCTCACCATCAGGGTCGTGCAAGTGTCTGGGGAGGCAGAAAGGCCAGGACTGTGATTGGTGTGTACAGACCAAGTGTGAAGTAAGAGACCTGAGTGTCTCGGTTTGTGACCTCTGTGATCAGGACAGAACTCTGGAAATGGAGCAGAAGGCCAGGAGATGGAAATGGGTTTGCAAGATCCATCAGGAACATCAGAGACTCCTCCCTAGGAACACCAGTACTCCAGTAGTTAGGTCAGGAGGCGAGGCTGCTTGGGGCTTCTAAGAGACACAGTCCTTTGGGGAACAGGAGGAAGAGGAGATGGGACTCTACCTTAGAGTGTAAACAAGACCAGAGCTGGGCCGCTAGGAGTTCATGGGGCTCAGGACTGTGGAAGTATGAGGACGGCCTTGGACAGACTGGCCTCAGCTTCTCACATGAGTACAAACATGTAGGGGGGACAAGAGTAAAAGGATGAACCCTCGACTCGTCGCAGTCCCCATTCCTCTGAGGATGGGCCCCCTGGCGTGAGCAGTGGGGGACCATGGGAAGCCACAGCTGGGAGAGAGAAGCTGATGTGAGAGTTAGGGATGGTAGCAGCAGGGTGGTAAGAACTGGGTCACCCAGTGATATCTCAGGGCCCCTCCTGCCCCAGGACAGGAACCCAGCATTCCAAAAATCCCAGGGGTGTGGGGCCAACCAGCTTCCAAATGGGAAGAGCAGAGGTAGCATGGGCTAGGTGCCCCAGGGCCCTGGGAAAGATGTGGGAAGAAGAAAAGCAAGATGGTGTGCGGCTTTTCAACCCAGCTCATGGAGCTTTATTCAGAGTGGAGTGACAAGATCCTGCTTGGTCCTTGCTGCACATGAAGGGGTCAGGCCAGCTGGGCCCTATTCTCTATGAGCCCAGGGCTGACAGCCCATGTTTGCCATCCCATTTACTTCAAAACTCCTAGGACCACAGCTTGGTCCCACCTGGACTCGTTTTCAGAACCCATACTCACCTGGGCCCTGCCCTCTTTCCGCCCATCCCAGAACGCCCGTTGCTGGGCACAGGCAGGGCCCATGAGTGCTGAGGCTGACAGAGGGGTGCTCCCTGGGCTGGGAGCCCTGCTAGACAACAGGGAGAAGTCCCGCATCTGTCAAAGTCCCTCTGCCACACACACAGATGCACACAAATTCTCTCACTCTGGCTTTCAGGAAAAGAAGTGATGTGACAGAGCGGCCACTGGCACATGTTACCACTTCCAGGCTAAAGGGTCAGCTTGTACAAGGGGCCTTCAATTACTACTGCTGACAGTAGCCCCCATGGGCCAACTATATATAGATGGCCTGTTCTTGGCTGAGTAAGCCTCTGCCTGGGGGCAGTTCACCCCTGCTGCTGATGTTTCTGGTTGTCCCCGAACAAATCCTCAACAAATTGAGGTCCCAGGGCTTCCCTTGTTGGAAAAGTCACAAGTTTCCACTGACTGCAACCAGCCTATGACTCCTGGACAGAAGACAGAGTCAGACACAACATCCATCCTGAGTCCCCAACGGGGTAGAAGGGAAGACAACCCGCCCGTCAGTGCTCATCTGTGGCACCAGGCAGAGCCCTGGAGCTCTTCCACTGAGGGCACCAGAGCCCCACTGCGGGAAGGAAAGGGGAAAAGGGAGACTCTCAGTCGGAGGCAAGAAGGCTCCTTTGGACCAAAAATGTTGTGGCTCTGTTCCCACCCTGTTCAAACAGGGGGGCGAGACCTGGAGGAGTTGGGGCAATTTGTATGCTCCACAATAAAAAATGGTTTTTAAATATATTCATCAAAATAGTTATCTTTTAAAAAGCCCCCACTGCTGACAGCCCCACCGACTGGCTCTCCATCGTATCCCTGCCCAGCCCGGACACAGCCGGCGGGGTCCTGAGTGGCCCAAATGCCCCTTTGAGTCTTTCCCACCCAGGTCTTGGAGGGCAGGGAGGAGAGTGCCCTGAGGTCCACGGTGGGTGCACGCTCTTCCTGACTATTCCAGGCCCAGGATGTAGTTGATGCCTTGCACCAAGCCGATGATAACAGGCTGCCAGGCTACCAAATACCGAAGCCAATCCAGCAGTTGCCCATACATGACATGAGGCCTCTCCCAGCTGTCAGTGCGTTAAAGAGGCTAAGAGCTGCTAAGATTGGTCTAGGAAGTGGATGAGTTGAGTGTGCCCACATCCTCCTTGGGTCTGCCCAGACTTACCAGCTGCTCCGCAGAAAGCAGCCTACAAGGAAACATACCTGTTTTCTAGAAAGCCCCACCAGCCTCTCCATGTGGGAATGAAGGGCTAAACCAGAGAATGGGAGGAGGGCAGAGGAGACCAGGGCAGAAGACAGGACAGACACAGGAGAGGGCCACAGAGGCAAAAGACCAGCCTGTAGAAACGGCGTCCGTGCACCACCTTCTCTCAGAAGGGCCTGCGCTGTGAGAGGACACAGCCTGTGCCTGCTGTGAGCACGACTGCAGCATCAGTGGCAGGGAGGCTGGGGTGGGATCAGGCAACCCCAAAGGTTCTTGTAATGACCAAAATTAGGTTTTCTAGGCCCAGGAGGGGGTGGACTCTAGGGATAGAGGCAGAAAGCAGCAGGGTTACAGAAAGAGGCTAGTCACAGGGATAAGCCTGGGCAGAGGCTCTAAGGAATCCTCCCCAGGGGGCATTGAGCATCAGGCTCCACCCAGGCCAAGTGATCCTGGAGGTGAGTTTCCTTCCTTTTACTTTACAGTCAAATGCAGGGCAAGACATCTAGAGAGGGAGCCTGGGGATCCAGCTCTGGGGAAAAGCTCAGGCTGAATCTCAGACTGTGGAGGAATGCCTCCAGAGGCATTAGGAAGAACAGCCTGGCCCAAAAACTGAGAACTAAGGAGAGCCCCAAGCCTCAGCTTGACCACGGAATTGCTTAATTGTTCCTAAACTAGACCCTGTGAGGACCAAGCAAGGAACCTTAAAGGGGATAGGCCAGAGTCTCCCACTCAGGGACTATGGGAATGTGCTGGGAATAAAGTAGCTCAGCTAGTGTCTGGGGCCAGGGAACCCTAGCGCAGAGGGAAGGGGCCACTGGGAGGACAGAGGGCAGAATGCGGAGTCCCTGGATCCTAGAGAAAGTGAAGGGGGCCATTGAAGTGACTGGACACTTTCCAACAGCCAGGCTGTGAGGAGGAAGAGGAGAGTGAAGGCCAAGTGGGGAGGGATGGCAGGGCAGAAAAGTGGTACCTCAAGGAGCACAGGGCCTGTGTTCCAAGTGGATGGGAAGAGGAGCCTCCCCTGCACCCTGCAGGCCCTGCATGGGCCCAGAGCTGATCTCTGGCCTGCATGTCATAGGTAAGGCATCACCCATTAGTTGTGTCACCTTGAACAAGTTATTCAACCTCTCAACTGTTTCATTTCTAAAATGAGGATATTACTCCATGGTCATAAAGTTGCTAGAGAATCAAATGAGATAAAAATACAAGTAAAGCAGTAAATATAGTGCCAGGCACAGTGACCAAGCAGTAAATATCAACTGCAACTACTACCAATTTATCCTTGAGGGATCCAGAACTACGAAGAAGTTGGGCCGCGAATCCTGCCCCACATTCTAACCCCAACTTCCCTAGACCACGAGCCAAATGGAATGGTGGACACGAACCAGGCTGTGGGGAGGAAGGGCCCGAGGAGGACCCAAGTTCAGGGTCACACTGGCCAGGACTTTCTTCCCACTGCCCACTCCCAGCAAGAACTCAAACAAAGGATACGGGTTGCTGAACATCCTCTTGAGGTCTACCTTCTCTTTGCAGTAGGGACACGTCTGCTTCTTTCCCACAATGCACCAGCCGCGGATGCAGAATTCGTGGAATCTGAGGACCACTGGTCAAGGGGAATGGTGGGCAGCCAGGCACTGCAGCCCCATGCCAGGCTGCCAGGTGCCCATGCACTCGCTCTGGAGAAAGGTTCAAATCCTGGCTTCACCTCTTAATAGCTATATGATGTTGGGCAAGTCCCTTCTCTCTGACCCTGCCCACTCATGTGTTAGGTGAGGATGACCTCTATCTTAGAGAGCTGTTATGGGGCATGATACATCAGGGGGGGTGATACATGGCACAGAGTGGGGGCTGAGTAGGTTCATGAGTATGAGAGGCATTACTCAGAGGGGTCTAATGCTGAAACTGAGGGATCCAGTTAGAGGATGCTCCTCCCCTGGGACTGATCCAATCTTGGGCAGACTAGTACAGCTTCAGGCTCCTTTCTGAGCCAGTCAGACGCTAAATACTCTTTCAATAAGAGTGATGCCCATCTGTGGGAAAGAGTGAAGAAGGCTGAAGTTTTCACTCCTGGGTCAGCTTCTCTTGTAGAGAACGTCACCCAAACGTGTGCCCCCTTGTGACCGACTCTCTACACTCAAAGGTCTGGACAGCACGCCGAGGGCATGACCAGCTGCTTCCCCCTCTGACTGGAGTGCACAGGTGGCAGGAGAGCTGTGGCCCAGGGGCTCCAGGCAGGATACACGTGATTGCAAGACAGCCTATACGTGTTCTCGATGATGCCCTCTTCGCTGACATCCACAAAGATCTGCTGCCCACACACGGCACATACACTGTCAGAAAGGTGTTTGGTAGGCATGCCCGACTCGCTGTAGAACTGGGAGAGAAGAGCAGGGGTGAAAGACAGGAAAGATGTGAGAATCAGGCAACGGGGGAAGGGACCACAGAGGCCTATCAGGTCTTCTAGAGGGGAGGCAAAGGGGCAAGGCGGGCCCCAGAGCCGGAGACCACCTTCAGTGCCAAACAGACCTCATCTTTACTGGGCAGATGGGGGGGACAGACCAGAGACGGATCAGGACGGCAGATCTAATCGGACTGAAGACTGGGCTGGGTCAGCATCAGGGACAAGGAGGATGGGAGGGAGGAGGACATGGGGCTGGTGACAAGAAGCTGTGTCAGATAAGCCACTCTGTGGCCAGACTCTGGCTCCATCAGAGATGGACAACATCTCTCTTCCAAGATTCAAGACAGTGGAATATCTGGTGCAACGCTGGTTTGGCGACGTGGGTATTCTCAGACACTTGTGGCAGCAGAAGAGGTCCAACCCTTTGGCATAGCATCTGGCATTATGTCTCAAACTGTCACACCCTTTAACCCATTAGCTTCACTTTAAGGAATGTGAAGAAGTAAGTAGAAATATCAAAAGAGCTTCAATGCATACAGATATTCATTTAAGCATATAAATATTCATTTATAATTAGAGAAGCAGAGTTTGGCGATTTCTCAAAAAGTTAAAAGGCAGAATTACCATATGACACAGTAGTTCCATTCTTAGATACATTCCCCTCAAAAAGGAAAACAGGAACTAAACACATACTTGTATTTCAGTGTTCAGAGCAGCACTATTCACAACAGCCCAAAGGTGGAAACAACCAGTGTCCATCAAGAGATGAAAGGATAAACAAAATGTGGTACATCCATACAATGGAAAATTATTCACTCATAAAAATAAGGAAGTTCTGATGCATGCCACAACAGCTTTGAAAAGATTATGCTAAGTGAAGTCAGACACAAAAGGACAAATATTGTATGATTCCATTTATACAAAGTATCTAGAATAGGCAAGTTTAAAGAGAGAAAAAGTAGATTAGAAAGGGGCTGAGGGTAGGAAATGGGCAGTTATTGCTTAATAAGCACAGAGTTTCTGTTTGGGATGATGAAAACTTTTGGAAATAGTGGGGATAGTTGCACAATGCTGTGAATGTAATTAATGCACTGAATTTACTTTAAATGGCTAAAATGGTGATTTTTATAAGTATTTTACCATAATTAAAAAAAAACAATAACTGGAAATAATAAATAACTAACAATAGGAGAACACCTAAATAAATTATGGTACACACGTAAGGGAATAAAAAGGCAATGAATCAACTAAAGCTGCAGGTATAACAGTTATTGTCAAAAGGATGGCACAAATTTGGAGGCACAGTATGACTGGTACCATATATAAAGATAAGCCCAAATCCATACAAAGAAAAACAATCAGAATGTTCACACCAGTGATGTTTTGGTAGTAGGATTATAGGTGATTTTTTTTCTTTTGCCTACGAAAACTAGGCAATTTCTCAAAAAATACAGAAAATGTACTCAAATTTTCCTTAATGAATAAAACATTACTCTCAGATTAAAAATTGATTACCATAATTACAATGGATAACCAATTTCATGCTCCAAAAAGAAATTGCAAGTTTTGCTCCAATGATTCCAAGATTTGCTTTCCAATGATTCCTTGTGGCTCATTGTTAAACAAGTACATGACATTTCCCCCTCACCCCAAGGAAAAAAGATTTTAAATTTATTTGTTGAAATATTGTAAGACACATTGGTTTGTTCTTTTGTCTTAAAAACTGTGGTAAAACATACATGATAGAGAATTTACCATCTTAACTGTTTTAAATGTATAGTTCAGTAGCAATAAGTATATTCACATTGTTGTGCAACTAATCTCCAGAATATTTACACCTTGCAAAACTCTATAATGGATATTTTAAAAAACCTTCAACATTTCTTATTACAATTTTATCTGTACCTGTAAGGCAGATTTAGTTTACTTAGACTTTCTGTATTTTCTTGAGTTTCCTTTGTTTTTTGTTTGTTTCCAAGCAATTATCTCCTGAAAAAGCCAAAACCCCAAAGCTGAGTGAGTGACAGCAGTGGAGAAGGAGAGGGCACACAGGTGCTGGGACAGAGAATCAGGGAGGATGACAACAGGTCACCTACAGCAGACACAGCTCTCGCTGCCAGAATGTCCACTTGACTTGGGGACGTCCCTTACTCCCAGCTGCCCTCCTGAGGAATGGACTCCCTCAGCGGTCAGAATGGCTCCCTGATCCCAACAGTCCTCAAGACTAGAAGGCAGAGATGCTACACTGCCCCAAGAATCCATGTATACAGAGCTTCCTGCCTTCACCCCTACCTCACCCTCTTGCAAACCATCTGTAAGGGCTCAAGGCAAGCCACTTACCATCACAGAACACCAGAGCAGCCCTCTCGCTGGGTAAAACAAAGCCCAGACAAGGCAAGAAGCAAGTTGGGACCAGAACCCAGACCCCTCTGACTCCCACCCAAGTTATACCCAAGGCATTCCATTAACTTTTGCTGAATGTTAGCTTCAGGAAGGTAAGCTACTTAGCTCACTGAGGGCCAGTTATTCAAAAGTTTCTGATCTGTCTGTCTAGAATGTGAAGTGGAAAAGGATAAGCTAGAGTCAGAGGGCTGCAGCCTGTGGAAGCCCCACTAACTGTGCAACTCTCCAAAGTTGACACTGGAGAATGTTCGTGTTGGGAGGACCTTTGAGAAAGCACCTCTCCAGAACTCAGCAGGCTATGGCTCTGCAATGTGTTCTGGCTTAGGGCTTCTAGGCACATCAACAGAACAGAGAGCGAAGAAACCAAGGGGCCTGTACAGCTTTGCCTGAGTCCTCACGCCACTGCACAGCTCAGGAACACGACTACTCGCACTGGCCCACAGGGTTGGCTGTAAAAAGAAGCGTGAGCATTCCAACTCAGGAGTGGGACAGAGCTCAGGAAGTGCTTTACCTCCAGCATCCCAGGGTTCTGCCCCCGAACACTGGGGAAAAGGATGCAAGATCAAAGGGAACTTGGGTAGGGTGATGACAGCAAGGAAGTCCAGGAAAATGTCTGTTAGGCCTTTCATTTCTGGAGTTCTCCCCACAAGGCTAATGTGGCAACAGGTAGGGTCAAATCCCACAATATCTCAACAAAAGCATTAGGTAAGCCTGTCAAGTCAGGAAGGCCCCAGCAACCTATGGCTCACGGAAACCATGAGGAGGAGACTGCCTCAGGAAGCGCTGAGGCTGAGGTGGGCAAGGTACAGGGAGGCAGGTTTCAGTTTAACTTCAAAAGGCTAATAATCCCTCAGTGGAAGGGCTCAAGGGGCCATATGGCCTGCCAGGATTAGGCAGACCTAATTTCAATCCTCTGTTATTTACTATCTTGACACCCTTGAGCAGGCCACCAAACCCTTCCTTCCACCCATCAAAATACACTGGGCGCCTACTGAGTACCTGCCCCTGGAGTTGGTCCTGGGGTGTAATGCTGGAAAAACACAGCCCTGGCCTCTGGCCTTATAAACCTACACCTAGGGGAGATATTTAAAATGATAATTACAATAAAGTAATAACTAATTCTTTAAAAAGCTAAAATAAGAATTGTTGGAAAGGCATTAAAAGGGCTGTAAAAGGGGTTCTTTACTTAGCCTAGGTCCCCTGAGAAGGCTTCTTTGAGGGAGTGCCATTTTAGGCTGACAGACAGAGGCTGGGCTGGGAGTCAGCAAGACAAAGAAAGGCAGAAGTGGAAAGAGGCCCTGGGGCAGGAAGGTGCTTTGGAGCACTTCAGAAACTGAAAGGAACCTAACTTGGCCAGAGTGACAAAAAGGAACGCAGTCATATCAGCCACATGAAGAATTTTGGACTTGAAATGGGAAGTCATCTAAAGGCTCTATTTAAGTAAGGATTAACATGATCAAACTCAAATTTTTAAAAGATCATTGTCTTCTGTGTGAAAAATAGGTCAGTGATGAGGCCAACATAGATTCAGAAAGACCAGCTAAGAGACAATAAGAATTCTCCAAAAAGCAATAGATGATAGAAGCCTGTGGGTGCTAAGGTGATGGCTTGGGCTAATTTGATGGCAGTGAAAACTGAGAGGAGTGGACAGCCTGGTGAAGCCAAGTAGACAAATGAGTAGTAAAGGTCCAGAGCTCAGAAACAAGTTTTGAATCAGAGATATGGAAGCTTTGGAAAAAGAAATGGGACACTTCTAGGTGAAAAGCAGAGAAGATGGCTTAGGTTTGAGCTCACAGGAACAGTAACTTTTAAGGAGATAGAAAGTTACCAGAGGAGACAGAAAATATCAAACACAAAGAAAACCAAGCCAGCATAATGTCACAAAAAGCCAAGGGGGAAAAAAACCTCTTTTAAGAAGGAAGGAGTGGTTGAGTCAACTGTGCTGACAACTGCTGGATGAGAATTAGGTCACAGAAGTAGTGACAGAGTCATGGTGATCTGAGTAGAAGCCACCTCTGAAGAATGATCTGAGGCCATAGTGAAATGGGCTAAGGAGTAAATGAAAGGCAATCAAAAGGAGACAGGGTCAAAGAAAGGATGTTTTTGAAAAAGAAAGGAAGAGAGTCCAGAAGAGAGGGAGAAGTTCAAGCCATGGGTAAGACAGGGAAGTCAGCAGCACACAGGGTCTCTAAGAAGGCAGGAGCATATGGAACCCAGGTGCAGGTAGGGCTGGCTTTTGACAGGAGAGAGGACACTTAATCCACTGTAACTGGAGGAAAGGAAGAGCTAGGTACAAACCTAAGTAGATTTGTAGATAGGATATCAGGAAATTATGGGAATTCCACTTTGGTTTCTAGTGTCTTGGGAAAAGAAGCAGCAAGTCATCTGCATGAAATGTGCTCTGCATGGCAAGTGGGAGAGTAAGCTCTCCCAGACAAAACAGGAAGAGTGCTCCTTTGTAGGGCTGGAATACTAGCCTGGGCCTCACATGGCTTTGGGAAGACTCACTGAGAAAAAAGCCAGCACAGAGCTTGCATAGAGTGGATGCTCAGAAAACATGAGTTCCATTCCACACCACTGAACACCACAGAAAATGTATGCCAAGTAAGCCTTGTGAGCTCTTCAGACAGGTGAGGAAACCGACGCCCAAGGAGGACAGCCTCCCACAGAGAGCTGTTGGCAGAACCGAGCTGAAGCCTCGCCAGTTCAAGAGATGATTCGGAAATACCTGTGGAGACACTGACTAAAACACCCACTTCTCAGGGTTACAGCAGAGATGCTATGTCACAGAGTGGTCTGAGATGACTTCAGACAAGAGATGGCACTGAGAGAATTGGCATATACTCCTCACTTAGGATATAGTCTTGACTTAGGATTCATCTGTTCTGCTTGGGTTGATGAAGATAGGAGACAAACCCTGTAGGGCCTCTGTGCTCCATCCAGGCAATGACAGGCAGGCATAGGCAGTCTCACAGTCGGCGGTGCAGCATGGACAGGCTTGACCCGGGGTAGCAGCTACTGTCACCCTCTCCACTGTTCATCATGGGCTCAGCTACTCTGCAAAGTGCTTTCCAGCCACCTGTTGTTCCTTGCCACAGTTTATTAAGTCTGATAATATTATTACAGCTAAGAAAACAAGATCAGAGAGGCAAAGTAACTTGCTCCAGAGAATACAGCTAATTAAAAGTGGTTTAGAACTTGAAACCAGGTCTGACCTAATCCCTAGCTCTTCCCCCTTCTTCAAGGCAGATGAAAAGCAACTAGTCCTTTCCTGATGCTTTCTGGGGCCATTGGGGATCCAGGAGGTAAATCTGGGGCACAGGAATTTGCTCAGAAGATACAAAAGTGTGAGACAGAACACATGGCCCGATGTAGCACAGTGTGTTACTACCCTGCCTTCCCAATAACTCTCTCAGAGGAAAAAGCCCCAGAAAGCAGGCTTATTTCATAATCCCCCAAACCCCCACCCATACTACATGACTTTGGGTGTGAATGGAAACTATACTGACTGGCTGTCACAAGCTTATGATCTCACAGTGACCAGCTGGAAAAACATGCCATCCAAGATGCCATCCCTTGACTCAACTTAAGGAGAATTACTTTAGTTCACATCATAAATTTCTCCATGTGAAGCAAAACAAAGAGACACTAAACAGAGTTGTGTACAGTAGTGACAAGGAATTGAGAATGCTTATGAATACAATTGTAAAACCTCATGGTTTCATTTCCAGGCTCTGAAATTAATCAATCCCAGATCTTTTTAGGTCAAAGCACTCTCAGAGGGGGACCATGAGATGACTGAGACCTAGATCTAGACCTGCTAGGCGGGAGAGCTCCAAAATCAAGTATGACTCTCCAGAATAGAAGCTGTGATCATAGAATATACCAAAGACTAAAAAAAGGACTAGGACTAAAAATGTGGTGTATACCTACAATGAAACAGTGCTCAGCCTTAAAAAGGGAGGAAATTCTAGCCCAGGCCTCAACATGGGTGAACCTGGAGGACATTATGTTAAGTGAGACAAGCCAGTTACAAAGGACAAATACTGTGTGAGCCCACTTGTACGAGGCCCCTAGAGTGGTCAAACCCACAGACAGAGAGCAGAAGGGTGGTTGTCAGGGCTGGGGGGAGAGGGCACTGCCAAATTACAGGTTTCTGGCTTCAAAGCCAGGAATATTCTTGAAATTCAGGTTGCTGTGGCTCAGGGGCCCAGGTGTTCCTGAGCAGACTAAGGCCACTTGATTGAAAACTTGGGCAGAAAAAAGAGTCTGTCCTGGAATCCTCAGGGTTAGAAAGAACTGTAAAGGTCTTTCCCTTTATCCCATGTTGGGAGGCCCTTCCCTCACCTCTCTGCTGGGGCTCATCTGTTGGCACCCTGAGCCCCATCAGCAGGCTTGTCACTAAGTCTCAGCAATACTCACTGTAGGAAACAATGAGTGAATGAACTCCTAGTAACTCACCCAGTACTGTCACAAGCCACCCTACTCTTCCTATGACCCACTCCCTGCCCTTGAGATGGGGACCTGAGTAAAAGTAAACTGCTTGTCTATAGTTAGCGTCAGCAAGGCCACATTCTGTAGGACAGGGGTTTGATGGAGTGGCTCCTCTGACAGGGACAGGCATTCTTACTGTCAATCAGATGGGGAAGAGGTGGATCCTCATCTATGATACCAGGTTCAGAAGGCTGGCCTGAGGCATTAAGGGGGCTGCGGACATACTTCTATCAGGAACACAGGCTCTGCTCTAGGTCTGGACATTTGGACAGTAGTTGTCTAGATGTGGATTCTAGGTGGGGGTGCTAAGATGGTCCACATTACACAGAAGCAGGCTGAGAACTGGATGAGGCAGGCTTGGGAAGCCCTGGAAAGCAGGAGGGCTCATGAGTCAGATTAACCTCATCCAGTACTCATGGTTTACTTTCCTGCTATCATCCTTTAATAAAGTCTGATGTGACTGATCTTTACGTTCTTGGGCTAAGAGGCACAGAAGGTATATGGGCCCCAGACCATTAAAAAATGAGCATGGAGTGGTGGGGATAACGAGTGAGATCCCATAAAAGGAAGGGGAGTATGAGGGGTCAAGAGCTAGTGTTTGAGGCACTCTCCACCCTGAAAGAAATTCTCCCACTAGGTCTCTCGGTGAAGCTGGAATTTATCATTATTGGGGAATTACCTTATTATCATTATTAGGTATTATCATTTGTAATCACTGGAGCACCTAGTTCTACCCCAGCATGAAAAAGGCCCAACTGAAATCCCATTTTGGGGAGGCCAATGTAATGATTCCACCTCCTGAGAGAGAAGCTACCCTGCGGATCACTTCTGAGCTCAGATCTGTTTGGACAGAAGGGTTCTGTAAGATTGGTTATTAGTGACCCACCTGAGAGGATTAAGTCTATGCTTAAATTGGCAGTTTGAGATAAAGTTGGCAACAACCTGGGAAAATCAGGGAATTGGTCCTATAAAAATAGAATGAGAAGAAATCACTAGAGGGTAAAAGAATACTGCCAAGAGTCACTCTGAAAAGCTGGCTATGCCACGGAAACAGTCTGAGTAAACAGCTGCTGTTGAAAGTGAATGTAATAATGAGACAATCTAGGGTCTGGGAAATCTTCTTCAGGCAGTGAGCTGTTTTTAAAGGAAGATCTGTAGTCTTCACAAATAGATAACAGACAGTGAAATGCAGTGATAACAGAAGACGGTTGTTCTAACAAGAATCTAATGGATTGTCTACAAAGGGATCCAATGTACTCTCTTTTCAATTTGATTCTTTACAGGAAAAAGAAACTTTCCCATCATACCAAGAAATAATATCCTATACTTAAAACCATACCTGACAAAAGTTACCCTAGGTATTCTGAGTAATCTGAATTGCCCTATACCTACCAAGCTGTACCACAAATGAGATCAAGATAGCACTGACATACAAATTTGCACAGCAAACAGCCCCTGCCTGCAAAATTGCCTTAAACTTTTCAAGAGTTCCAGAGGTGCCTCACCTCAAGTCAGCACCTATCCTTTCCTGTTCTCAGTGGGTCTCCACTGCTGCCTGCTGCCTAAAAGCTAGGAGTAGTATCGATGCTCCAGGAGAACCTACTTCCCTGATACTCTCTTCAGTTTCTCTCCAAGCTGCCAAACCTTGATACAGCAAGAACTTCTGAATGTCCTCTGGTCCTCCTCCATCAGACAGAGCCACATGGATTTCAACACAGAATCAGGGAAATGTGATGTCCATTAAGCTTGGAATTATTTCTTCTTGGGGTGGGGTCTACTGGGATGCTACCACGATGGGGAGCACTTCTGTGTCATTTACATAATTACAAAGAGACTGTATTATTTTTAAAAACAGCAAAACAGCAAAGACATACTCCCATTATGAAAAAAAAAATAGGAATACTGACCTGGGTTTCTTAGATTGGCTGTTATTTTACACGCATTTTAAGCTTGAAGACTCTCCCCATGGTTCCCACCTAGTTCTCTTGCAGCATTTCCCATCTCAGTGAAAAGTATACTATCCAAGGAGCTGCTTGGGTTAGAAACATCAGCTTTGATACCCACTTTTCTTTCATAATTCTTCAGTCTCCAAAACTAATGTACATGTAAATCCTGTCAACCTTACCTCAAAATACATCTCAAATAATCCACTTGTCTCCCTTCCCATCATCTCTGTGCTAATCCAAGCTACCTGCATCTTGCCCAGACCACCACATTGTCTCTTTAATAATCGTAAGTGGTCCACTCTAATCTGTGGACTCCTCTCTAGTCTGTTCTCTATCCAGCAGCCAGAATGATCTTTTCAAAGTGAAAATCTGATGATGTCATTTTCTCTTAGCCTCCGAGTGTTTTGAGTATAAAAACTGTCATCTTTCATTCGGCCTACAAAACTTTTTCTAGTTTAGTCTAAATACCCACACTTTCTCCCACTACAGAACTCTTAGACATTATTTTCTCTATCTGGTAACCATCTGACTTCCCACTTTGTCTGCTTAACTCCTACTCATTGTTCAAGTCAGCTCAATAGTTACTTCTTCAGGGATGCTATCTTTGAGCCAAAGACAAGGTCAAATGCCACAACTCTATTTGTTTATAGCATTATGAACCTTTCCTTCATAATATTCATTAAATTTATTATTTGTTTGTGCTTATTATTTTAACACCATCTCTGTCATTAGAGAGTAAACTCCAACTGGGCAAGAGTCATGTGTATTTTAGCACACCTTTTTAATTCTAACAAATACACAGAGCCCAGGCACATCGAAAGTATTAAATAAATATTTGTTAAAGGAATATTAACTTCCTGTAGGGTAAAGTGGTTCCTTTCTATAATGGCCCTAAGGTTAAAATACCAGAGTGGATCTGAGAGCTGGCTTCCCAAATTCTAAGGAAGGAATCTCCAGATACATGCCACTCACATCTTGAAGGATTTTATATGGCTTATCTCTGGAGGTCGCAGGAGGCAGTATTAAGAGCCCAGGTGAACTCACCCCTATGGTGGATGCCATGTAGTCTGCACACATTTCTGCAAAGTCCCGCTCAAGAACTCCATAGTAGAGACCATAGAAGAGGAGAGAAATGCCAAAGTCCATGGCATCTTCTGGTTTGATCCTGTAGGGGAAGCAGCACAGCCTGTGAGGCCTGCCTGGGGATGCAACTGCTTTGGACACCTACTCTGGCATACGTAAGGGGTGCCTGAAGGCGCTTCCAGGGCTAGAGCAAGTGTTGGCTAACTAAGACCAAATCGAGCCTGCTGCCTATGAGTACCACCTCAACAGGCCAGCACTGTGACAAAGCCAGGGTATCCCCTTCTGCCCCTCTTCCCTACTCTGTTCCAAGTGCCTGCCTCCTTCAACTGGCATGCATGCCTTAAATTCACCAAGGGCCCCCTCTGGTTGGCATCTGCATGTTGGGGACTCCACTAGACACCAAGCAGTGGAATTTCAATCTGGAAGTTGACAACTCACTGAATTGCCTCACCTCCAGCCAGCTGCCCAAGCTGAAACAGCTAAGCTCTCCAAAAAGAGGGAAGGATACACCAGGATCTGGGTGGCACTGGAGCAGAAGGGGAAAATGACCCCAGTCGTCACACACCCCATCAGGCCCCTCCTTCTGAGAATGTCTCATCTGATGGCAAGTGGGCACAAAGTATGCCACCATCTGAGAGAGTCCATCCACCAAACAGGGTGGGGCAAGGGAGCAGTTTTCTCTCTTGTTATATAAGTACCTACATACTAGTCTAGATTTTACCTTTTGTCTCACAAAGCCTAAAATATTTATTATTTGGCCCTTTACAGAAAAAGTTTACTAACCACAACTTTAGGAAAAAAAAGATGAAGCTAGTTAGTAAATACATACATTACCAGTTGCCATAAAATTTTAAGTTGCATTTATACCCATTCTATATAATGCATCAAAGTTAAACTTTGGTCCAAGTCTACTTATAAGGAGGACAAAGATCTTGCCAATATTGTGAGGTTTGTTTTAATAATTCCAAAGACCAATAATTTGCAACCATGAGTCTTTAAATGCTTATTATAGAAAACTACCTTTATTAAAATATTTGTACCAGGAACTGTATGTGTTCACTTAAAGTTGTAAATTATGTTATCTTAGAAAGTTGAATTTGCTCAATCTTGTAATATTTAACCCACAACTAGACATTGCAATCTTATACCAATTAACCTGATCAGTAGCATAAAAATGGTCAAGATTCTCAATTGTTTTCCTCCTTGTATAGTTTATGCAAGTAAAAAAAAAAAACCCTGTAATTATAGAATAAATATCTTTAAAACATACAGCAGAATCTTGATTTTTATGTTATTTAACCACACAGGTTTGGAAGATATCTGGAAGTTTCTTGGTTTCCTTTGGTGGGATGTGTTAGACTCACTACTGATGAATTCCTGTGAACCACTCCTTCAGCATGTATTACCCCTAGAAGAAAGAAATCCATGGGTGTCCTCTTGCTATAAAAAGTAGGATTTATTCCTTTCTTTTTCAAAGAAATTCCCATCTACAGTGTACTAGGTCTGGGGAAGAGATTACTGGTCTCGAATTTAAATCTGAATCCTAAATCTCTAGTTTCATTGCACTGTCCTCATGATCCACAGCCCACAGGCCCCATTACCTGAGCCAGGAAGCCACATTTCTGCTCTCTTCTGCCCTACTTATTCATTGTACCCTCCAGTATCAGAGTCCAGATTTCCAGGCTTCTGCCTTAATTGGGGGTGGGGGAACCTGTACACTGATAAAAAATCTTTTGGAAAGCTTATGACAATATGAAGCAACAGCCAGAACCCCACTCCTGGTAATATATCCTTAGGAAGTAGTACAGCAATATTACCTGTGATCGAACTAAACTGCAAAACAACCTAAGTGCTCAACAATGGAGCAGGACTTAAATGTCCGCAAGTTAACTTTCTAGAACGGTTTCCTTAGAAATGTAGATAAAGAAGGAATGTCAGCTATGCTACAAAACAACAATGTTCATATGTTATACATGACCTGTACTGGTATACTGTTATCTGGACTGGGAGATTCTTAAAACTGGGTATGTTCCTTGGGGAAGAAGGGGCTTCTGGGCCACCCATCTCAGCCCTGGCTCTATAGCAAACACTCCTGCAGACGTTGCCCTGCTGTTTCCTGCCTTGCAACCTTCTAGGTAGACCTGTTGCCAGGTGTGGCCAACTGTCCTGCCAGGTTTGATTACCAGTCCCAGGTCAGCAAACTTTTTCTGTAAAGGGCCAAACTAAGTATTTTATATTTGTGGTCCACACAGTCTCTTCCACAATTTTCAACCCTACTGTTTTATTGCAAAAACAGCCACAGACAACGTGTAAATAAATGCATGCAACTGTGTTTCAGTAAATTTTTTTCTTATTTTATAAAAACAAGAGGTAGACCAATTTGGCCCATAGGACATAGTTTGCCAGTTCCTAGTCTCTTTGAACGTAAGACCACTCAGGAAGAGTGGCTGTTACAATGAGTAGTACACACATGGACAAGGAAATTATTCAGTTGGAGTGATGGAGTTACGGGCGACTGGCTATAATATTGCCATCATTATGCTTACTTTTCTTATTATACTTTTCCACTAAAATGTAAGTTCTTCAAAAATACAGCCAACAGTTTGGGACTTTAATTTTGTATCATCCAGACATTCCTTTCTCTTTGACAGCACAAATCATGGAGGTCCCACCCTACCACCCCCACAGCCCAAGTCTCCTATCCTGGATGGCATGTCTACCTGGTTAATACCTAGAACTTGTCCCAGGAAAAAAAATACATCTCACCAATCCCTCCTCCCCAAACACCAGCAAAGGTACTCACTTGAATAGTAAGTTAAGACCAAAGAGGGTAAACATGACAGCCATGTAGCCAACAATGCCAGTAGCATAGCTGATTTTATAGATTAGCAGGAACCACTTATAAACAAGCCTAGAGGAAATAGAGAAAATTAGTATAGCTGAAACAAACTTTAGTTTGAGGGTCTGGACTACCAGAATCCCTTATTCTCACACCAAAGGGGACATCATCAGGCTCTCTGCTTATTGAGCAACTTCAATTAGTGTACAAAGTTGGTCCCTCCCTCAATTGCAGAAACACCTCCATACAGCAGGGAGCTAGTGCTTTGTCTTTTCCTGGTCTCAGAACATGTGAAGAAGAAAGCCTTAAAAGGAAGGTTCATCCTCAAAGAGCACAGCTGACCTCAGACAGCTATGTCACCTCAAATTCAGGTTAGCTGGATAAGGAAGTGAAAACTAGGAACCACAGCTATGCTCAAAAGGGAACAGAGCAGAAAGGCTAGTTGTTACTGTCAGGAAAGAGAAGTCAAGGGAAAATGAATCAAGAGGTAGACTTAATTATAGGCATTGTAACTGGGCATGGTTAATCTGAATACTGCTTTGTTCCTATCCACAGGCCGATAATGAAATGAATGATGTCTAATGAATTTGCTTCTGAAATGATTTTTCTTTCTCCCTGGAGAAGAAAGGATAAGGAAGGAGGCACTCAAAGAGTACCTGTGTATAGACATATGTACATGGCGGTGGTGGTAGGGTAGACTGAGGTTATGCAGTGGAGACATACTCCTTAGCATCCAATGAAAACTGTGTGGACTCTGGTTGGTTGACCCTAGGTTCAGAGATGAAAGAGGGTTCCCTGAATGCACCAGAGCCTTTTAAATACCATGGAGATAGGTCCCCGATGCAAGGAGCCACTATTCTATGATGAGAGCTAATGGACAATTTAGCAATTTTCTTGAGTAACCAGCACAAGCCTGCCTGGCTCCTGAGAGCCAACTAGGTTACTGCCAACCCTGCTGGGCCCCAGGGAGGAAGTTCAAGGTCCCTGCCCGTGCCTCCCTGCTATGGGTAAGCAAGGGATAATGGCTTTTCTGGCTAAGGAAAGGTCCCAAACATCTTGTAGTACCTTCCCTCAGAGACCACAAAGAGCACTGATCAGTTGAAAGTGAGACACAGTGGAAAGGATGTGTAATTACAGTAGAATCTGGATTGAGTGAGTTTATTAGATGGGTAACCCCAGGTAAATCAAATCACCTAAGACAAGTTTACTTATTTGTAGAACGGGGGAAAACCATGCTCCCTTTCTCACTGGATTGTACAGAGCCCATTTCTTGGTGTGTATAATACATGCTCAATAACTGCCACATGAATAAACATGGGTGTTTATGAAAGTGCTTTGAAGCTGTAAAGCACTATCAATGTGAAAACCTTCCATGCTACACACATTTTCAGTCATTTTACCTAGAAGTTGACACAGTTTGCTACTTGGTGATCTTAATATGTTTTATTTTACTTCTTATTATCACCCTATATGAGGTAGCAATTATTCTCACATTTTTAAGGATAAAGAATTCAAGGCTCAGAAGGATGAAGTCACGCAGGTCATATAATTAACAAGTGGCTAAGGTTTCCAATCCACATGCATCTTACTCCAGAGCCTGCCGTATGTATCTTCTATAATGGTTCTTAATGCAAACTATGTTACTTTAGAGAGGGGCTTCTGGATCACTGACTTCACTGTGAAGATAAATTTTACTTTGCACAATGAAATTCAGAGGGCTAAATAAATGCTCACAGTAAAGTAAAACAGAAGAGGAATGGGAAAAAGAGCAACTTGCAACTTGGAAGACTTTGGATTGGGTAATCACAATTCTGAGGCTAGCCAGTTCCTCCGTTAGGCTCTGGCACTTACCAACTGCACTGAAACAGCTGCTTGCTCGTCCATCTCCTCCATTAAACCGAGCACTCCTTGAGGGCAGGGACCATGTCTTATCCAGCTCTGTATCCCCAGCACTCAGCACAGGGCCTGACATATAGCAGGTGCTTGTTGAATGAATGAATGAATGAGAAAATCTCTTTTTTTCTGTCAAATACAGATATTAAATGACCTCACAAGCTGGCTGGGAGGATCAAACAAGAAATGCATTTAGATAAGAATATAAAGAATTATACAGGCAGGAGCTGCTTTGTGACCCAAGAAGGAAGTACTGTTTTTTGAAAAATAGCATATTTGCTGAGATTCATTCATTCAACAAGTTAATAGAGTAGGCTATTATGTGCCAGGCCCTGTGGTAGGGCCTGGATATACAGTAACAAAGAGAATGGATGTGGTTCCTGATCTCATCGTTATAGCTTAGTGGCGGAGATAGACACTCAAAATAATATTTAGTTACAAATTGTGATAAGTTCTATGAAGGACAACTACAAGGTATTATGAAAGAATAGAACAGAAAATCTAATTCAGAGAAGAGTTCACAGAAGAAAACATTTAAAATGAGGCCACAATGATCACCAAGATTTGCTCGCTATAGGTTAAATATTTTGGGGTTTTTAGCTGTAAATGGTGGGGTTGGGCGTAATGGGGATGGGTGTAGGTCTCCCAATCAGCTTGTTTTGGTGAGGCTCTGTGCAAAATGATCTTGGCAGACAAAAACTGTAATTTTTTTCAGTTTAAACCCACCCTCTCCCCACACATCCCAACCTTCAGGAAACCTAGCTCTTCCCCACTACCTAACTCTCACCTTGGGGTGGTCTGTACTAGTGGTTTTCGGGTGGCTCGGAAGGTGACAAAGGCTGTGACAGCAGAGAACAAGGTCCAGATCACTAGGAATCTCCACCAGTGCAGCTTCACTGTGAAATAGAGGGGAACAACCCACATCTGAAAGAGGGTCACCATCTGAAACACAAACATAAGCACTTCAGCTCTAGCCAGCTCCCTCTGCAGCTCTACTCACAAGCCCAGAGTACATCTGGTGTGCTCCATTTTAGCCTGACATTTCCAATTTTGGATGAAGGCACCTCCTAGTGATCTAAGTTAGAAACCAGGGACTATGCTTGATACCTCCCTCTCATCCCTCACCCAACAGTTTATTGTATATATTCTTTCCTTCCCATGTGAGCCCTTGCTATACCTTGCTTGGCTAACAATAATGGCCTCTTTGTTAAGTCTCCTTGCATTGTCTCCCCTTCCCATCTATCCTTCCCAGGAGCACTGGAGTGGTATCTCTAACACACAGTCTTGAACATGTCATTCCCCTACTTAGAACCCGCTAATGGTCGGTCCCCTGCATATTGGATAAGATGAACATCTTTAGACAAGCAGTCACCCCTGCCCCAATGCAGCCCCAAACTACTAATTCAAGGGCCCCTTTCTACCACTTCCCATGCCTTTAATTAGGTTGTCCCTCTCAGGTGAAAACATCCTTCCCACCTGCCTTTCTCCCTGATGATAACACATCCAAGACACATGAAGGCTTCAGCTTCCTTTCCAGACAGAACATCCTGACTTTCTAGTGCTCCAAAACATCATCTTTTCTCCCATCATGATAGTGTTTATCTAGAATATGAGGCTGGAGTCAAATTTATTCTTTACCTGAAAGTAAGCTCTTTGAGAGCAGTGATTACTAGGTCATACTCATCTGTTTCATCTATGCTAGGATACTGTGGCACATGACAGATCCCCAATAAATGTAGATAAATGGGAGGAAAGCAAGACTAGAACCCCAAGAGGGAAGCACATTTCTATTTTAAAGAGTGTCTATTTTACTTCTCTCTCCTTCAGATCTTTACCCTCAGACTTGTGAGCTGAAGAGTTCCAAATGTATAAAACAATTTGAAGCTTGGACTAATCAGCAGTCTGCTGCTCCCTAGTACCTCCTAGCTCCCTCTGCCCAGCTTTCACTAGATATCACTCTTCTCAGGTGAGTAGCAGGTGTAAAAAAAAAAAAAAAAAGATAATTAGCACTTAATGGAGGCTTTCTTCCTGATGTCATCAAATGAAATGAAAGAACATTGAAAAAAAGGATCAGGGGTTACTGCAAAGAAGAAAATGATAATTTCCTGAAGTTCCACAGTAGAGAAAATGAGAACCTATTTGAGGATTTTTAGACTAGTACTGCTCAATCAAAACATATGTGAGTCATATATGTAATTCTGTTTTCTAGTAGCTACATTAAAAAAGGTAAAAAGAAACATATTTTACATTTTATTTAACCCAACATACCCAAAACATTACCATTTCAACATGTACTCAATATTAAAATTACCTATGAAATATTTTACTTTTATTGTGCTAAGGCTTTGAAATCTGATATGTATTTTGTATTTATAATATATCCTAAAGAGACCAGTCACATTTCAAGTACTCAGTAACAACAGAGAACTGGTGGCTACCATACTGGACAGTGTAGCTTACAGCATTTTTTCAATGCTCAGTTGTCTGTAGCTACTACTACAGACTGCTCTGTGGCAAGAAAAAGCCTAGTTTTTTAGTGTTATTGTACATACGTTAAAAAAAAAAAAGAGATGGTGAGAAGAAAATGGTGAATAAAGCCACTTTGTTTTAGAGCTTCCAGTTCTGTGTGCCCACTGAAGCTGGCTGCTGGTCAGTGAACAGTACAGCCTCAGTACCAATTCTTCTGTAGAGGAACCCCCAAGTGATTCCCTGAATGAAGCACTCTAAAATATGCTGGCCTGACATAAAACATGTGTAAGCACCGGATGTACTAACAAAAGGCTACCCATTAATGTTCCAGGTGTCATTCTAGGAGATATTGGGAGGAGCCCTGGAAAAGACATAACAAATGCTGCAGATTATTTAAAGTCATGGTACTAAAGGGGAGTAGATGGAGGTGGGAGGTGGAAAAGAGTTGCAGGGTCCTTAGCCCTTATAGTGTCTGCTTTAATAGGCTCATGGGGATGTTTATAAAACACAAGGCCCAGAGACTAGAGAAGAATTAAATCACACGACCTCACATTTGTCCTTTGAGAAGGAATAGGAATTCTAATCTCCTGGCTTTTCCAAAACTTGGCTGTGGCATAAAAACCAGCCAGCCCTAAGTGCCCCTTTCCTATTCCCCACCAATCACTGACAGCATGTTCTCAAGGGGAATCTAGTCAAGACAGTTTTCTCTACATGAGCTGCAGCTCTGCATATTTTGGGTGTGGCAAGAGGCAGAGGACCCGGATTCTATTCTGGATTGAACGAAGATTTAATCAAGGGTTAGTCTGGGCATCGGTGTAAAAAGAATGACAAATCTTGCCTCATTTTCTAACATTCAGGCTTGAAACTTTAAAGGTGTAAAGCTCTCATAAGGTTGTATGGGTTAAGGGAATTAATGCACTGAAATCTCTAGAACAGTGTCTAACAAGGTAAGCAATCAATGTAAGTAATGTAATAAATATAATGTACATATTCAATATAATAGTTCATTTAAATGAAAGTAATGTATATAAAATAAGCAACACAGTGCAAAATTCATAATTCATGGCTTTACATGATTAAAACAGCATGAGGTCACATATTATAAAGACAAAGACTGCAAAGAGGCAATCAAAAATGAGCATGTTAAAAGTGGTGGGGTTACAGCAATTTCTTCATAATGTTTGTTTTTTCCAGGAAAAATAAATCATCTAAAAACATAAACCAAGGGTTTGAGACCACTTTTAGGTATCTCGGCACTCTCCAGCAGGGAGGATTGAAAGCCAGATTCTGTTCAGGGCCTCTCACCTGCTGGGGTCAGAGCCCAGTGTCTTCCAAGGGCCAGGGCAGAAGGGCCAAGTAAACAAATAGTCTATCATGGATGGAGTAGTAAGTAAAAAATGATAAGTTAATGATTTCACCTGGTTAATACCTTTATTTGTTTCTACTCTAGTATTCACTGGCATTTTGCTAATGAATTAAAGCTTCTTCATTAAGACATGAATTTTAATGCCTAGCTTGGCAATAAATGGCTGAAAATAATGCAAGATTCTCCGAACAATGGCAGAGACTCTGGTGCCATCTGGTGGTAACACTTTATGCAGACACACTTTTTTTTTTTTGGTGTCGTTAATGTACAATTACTTGAACATTATGGTTACTAGACTCCCACTATTATCAAGTCCCCCCCACATACCCCATTACAGTCACTGTCTATCAGCATAGTACAATGCTATAGAATCATTACTTGTCTTCTCTGTATATACTATGCAGACACATTCGGTTCAATAGTTTGCTCAAGTACTTGTGCCTTATGCTGTGGAAGGCGCAAAATAATGGGAAGCAATGGTTCTAACTTCTCTTCCAGGATTCTAAGCAATAAGACATAAACACATGGATTGGGCAGCTCTGAAAAGCATCAGGTACTGACATCAAAGTTCAGGGAGAGATGCAGCAATGTGGGCAGGGATGATTGCCTGAAGAGGCAGAGTTCTAGCTGGTTCTGAAGGAGGCTTGGATTTGGCCAGGTGGAGGGGAAAAGTGAAACTCATTTATCCTTATTCCCCTGAATCTACAAACAGGAATCTGAACTAGCCTGAAAAAGACTCACTGATTCAATCAGCGAACATTTACTGAGGGACAATCCCAGCTTCACCCATCTGGAAGGTTAGAAATAGCAGTACCCCACTTTTAACTCCACAAGGCTACACAGTTGAGATGATGATGTTAGATGCTAACAATAAGAACTAACCCATATCTAAATGAACTGTCTTTGTTTTAAATTTTTTCACCTCTGAAATAAGAATTCATGGGAAGTGAGGAAAGAGTTCCCAGATCACAGCCTTCCCAGGGCACCAGCTGCCTTGCCAGCTTGCTGATGCTGATGCTCAGTGCTTTTGACTTTCAGGATTCTCATCACTTCTGGGTCTCCCTCTGTTGTGGGGACAGGGATCACTCACCATGCATGGCTGAAAAGGAATACTGAGGATGACATAAAAAGTACATGTCCAACTAGTGGAAAATCTAAGACTCACAACTAATAGACAATCAGCTTGAAAAAAATGCTGATAAATAGGGGTCAACTGGAGGAAGGTGTCTGGGATATGCTCCACAGCTCTGGTCAGTATTTTCATGAATGATAATCTGCTTACCACAGATAGCACAAAGTCTGGGAGGTGGGTAGGAGCAAGACGGTAAACATGGAAAACAGAAGCAGCAAGATCCAAATGAATAAAGCTTTTTCCTAGAGTTCCTCTAGCTCTAACATTATGAGCTGATAAGCTGAAGTGAAGAACCAAAACTATACGATGAAAGCTAAGCAACTACCCAGATTTGGAAGGGGAATGAGTGGCTTAATAGCAGCTCATGTAAAATACATGCAGGGGTCTCAGCTGACCACAAACTGCTAGGCAATATGTGTGAACAGGGCCTCAGCCAGAAAAGCCAAGGCAGCCTTATGCTGCTTAACCAGGAATACACCCAGAATGAAGGAGGCTGCAGTTGTTAGATGAATATCCATGCATTGGTGGGGCCCTGGGATTGTCTTGGGGCCATGCTGCACAGAGGACACTGACAAAGAGGCATGGCCATAAGGGAGCAGCCAGGGTTACAAAGGGTCTGAAAACCAAGTCACCTAAGGAACAGCTGGAGACGACTATAGAAGGCATGGCTGTTACTACCAGCTAGCCGAACATAATCCAGATGTCCAGAAAGCAGACATATTCAGGGTAGTTTCTGTGACCTAGTAAGACCCCACACACTGCTGAAATACTCTACAGGGCAGAAACTTGCTTGGCAATTCCCTCCTACCACACCCCTGGCAAATGGTCAACATTACCATGTAAGCAAGCCTTCCATAGCAAACACATGTGTTTGACAGTTCATCCCTGATACTGACCTAAAAGATACTGACCTAAAAAATCTGCCTTCATGTCCTTTCTGCCTCTGGATCTCTTATCCTGCAGAGAGGCACAAAG